TTCTCACGCCTCTTGTTTGTCTACTATCACGAGATTGCAGATATTGAACTGCGGTTTCGTGTTATTACGATCCATCCCCGATTGGAAGAAAATGTGACAAAATGATATAGATGTTTCTAACGTCTCGCGCGACCGGTAATACTTAAAAATATTCACTACTACAATCATATTTTACGAGTAATTATATGGTGAAAATTATTTTGAAAATTTGAAACACGTTTTTATTATTTACAATACATTACTCTAAAATAATTAAATTAGAAAATTAATATAGCCAGTAAACAATGTGATTTCTCACTTATTATCACGCGTCAATATTCAATCGCATGTAAAATAAATTACGTTCAATTTGTTATCAAAAGAATAATAGATTTATCGAAAAACTTTACTGTTTATAACAGTTATTCATGATTTTATATCATCATATACGATTTGTAATATTTTTTCGTAGAATTACCATATTCATTTTAAATATATATTGTCTAAGATTAAATATATCTTTTTATGGTTGTATACGAGTCAGAAACTTTTCTGTGCATTTAAATAGATTACTAAAACACATTATAAATTAAATTGTCGGTCGCGTTATATTCTCCAAAGATCTAACCTCTTTAATTAAGATTTATTAATGTATAATAAATAAACAGATCGAATACATTATTACATCCAAGTGTTTTAGAAGTCATAATCAATTACATAGTATATACTCTACATCAGAGGCTAAAGGAAAATGCACCTACTCGCCGGTCGTCAATTATTATACCTGTCATTATTTCAGATGAATCATTTTTATTAGGTTACCTGACACACTAATAACTTACAACTATTATTATTAAGTTTGGAATAGTGCCGATGTGCGTTCTCGAGTAGTAATATTGAAAGCTTTTTTTGTTCTAATAGTAAAGACAGAAGTAATACATTGTTCTGGATAAACAATCTTTTTTCTGAAGCAAATATTTGTTCTACTAAAGACATAGATTTATTTGATACGCTTCGTATGATAAACAACCGAACCAATCTTCGACATTTATTGTGCGAAACATTACCGACACACACTATCACGATAATTTATTTTAACCACAGTTACAAATCACAAAACTAAATCTATGTTTCAAAAGTATCTGCGTCTTTACTTTTTAAACAAGAAAAAGGATAATGAAATATTGTAAAAAAAAGGCGTGTACACTGCCATTCCTTCAATCTACTGAATATCATTATAAACCAACAGTGCTGTATTAAAAACGTTAATTATTCAAAACGATGACCTATAAAACATAGGTAAAGAACATGTGAGCTATGAGTTTGGATTAAACACAGTCATCAAAACTGGAACGGTGAAAAATGAAACGTACCCCGTCATGTTTAAATTACGTATTTATTAAATTGTTTATTTTAAAATCCTTTAAAAAGTACGCATTTAAATATTTCTCATCATCAAAAAACTACCGTAGGCAATATCGAAGAGATAATAGGTCTTAGAGCAGTTTAATAATATTATACTCGGCCGTGCGAGAGGGCGCGTATGTGTGTGTTTGTATAATTAAATTAAAAGCGTATTGCATTGCGCATTTGTACGTTTGCTGCCGTAAAACATTCTTCTATCTGATTGCAAAAAAGTAGTGGGAGGGTAGGGAGAATAATCAATGCTATCCATACACAGTTCGACTATGGTTTTCTGTCGATAATCGGCAGTAGTAAGTGGAATTCGAAAGAATTTAATAATAGTAGTAAAAAAGAATAAAAAATAATACTCCTCATGTCGTAGTATATTAATGTCACAACCCTATGGATTTAGAGTTTCCAGATAAATTAATTGGTTTTACAAACATGTTGTCCAATATTACATTCGAATAAAATTCTTATTGTAGAACACGGCAGTTTAATATAGCGTCACACATACTATACACGAGTATAATGTAGCGACTCGAACCAAAGCTACGATTTAAATTAAACTCAATCTACTTTATTCCCGGTCGTAGGATTATGTTTAACTGTTTGAGAAACTTTGGCAGTTGAAGTTTTATTTGTTATTAGAAAATCGAATTTGTGCAGTCAATCACGTAAACTCACAAAAAAATTTCATCTTATTGATAATAAGCATTATAAATGATTATAAATCATTTAAGAACAATTCGTTTCAATTGAAAAATTGTGTAACTTTAATGGGCAATGTTTATCAATCAATTTATTATTAAAATTACTATTATTATTTTTTATATTCAATATACATTTAGTAAGTTCATCGTACAGTTGGTTAAAAATATGCGTTCGGTGAACAAAAAAGAAATAATAACAAAATTGACTTAACCCATATTATATTTATCAAGTACAACAATGTGGTTTTGATTTTCAATAAAAAAATAAATATAATTAATTTTATTTTTATTTATTATAAAGTAATACCCTCGAAAAGTAATATGGTACAGTAAGATAAAATCATGAACACTACGTGTGTATAAAGTAAATAACAATGTTTAAGTTTAAGTACCAATAAAAAAATAAAAATAAAAATGTTTACAATGCGATAATGATAAATAATTATTCTTTAATAGATTAGATAAGAGGAATATGATAAATTATATTTATAAGTAATAAGTAGGATTAGTTACTAATAAGTATATGCCTTAAATTTGTTAATGTTGTCATAGAAAAGATCAAAATTAGAAATATTATTACAAGATGTAAACATACGGTTTAGTGAGCTGTGTTTAAAGAAATTATCTTTACCAAAATTAGTGTAGAATAATGTGACTGGCGGGCATTAAAAACTGGTATTTTAAGATAAATTTTTTCTAGTAGATCTGGATAGTCTATTTTATAATTAAGTAATTTATGGATAGATAATACATCTGTGTTTAGTAGTCTTGATTCTAAAGTTGGTATTCGGAATAGTATATCGACGTCTATTACTGGTTTACCAATTAATTTATTTTATGGGCACTCATACGAAAAATATAAAATATTACAATAAATATAGGTCTAAACCCGAATAAAGTAATATGAGTGATAATGCAGAATGCTCTTTAATAATTGTATGTATAATAATATTATTGCATTATAATTATACTTAATTGTATAGGTACTTACTTTTTTCAGCAATAAAAAGTTGATTTACTATTTTTATTTTTTTACATGATTTATTACAAATAAATTATATTTCTTTTAACGTGAAGAAGTACATGCAACTATAAGCTTGAATATACGTGTTCTCATTGAAAGTTAAAACCTAAGCTGAAGATACAGTAAATAAATATGTAACGGAAAAAACTTGGAGTTACGATTTAAAAATCAAAAATTGATGCTACTTAATCGTGTAAGTAGTGATAATGTAGAGTATGTGAACTTATTAAGGAAAAACCGATTATGTTTGGTAGATAACGAAGAGCAAAGTATTACTTTATAGATAAGTACATCAAACGTCCACGAAGTGCTCAGATGATACTTTACTCTACATTAGCTTTGATTCGCGAAAGCAGGTAAAGCTTATGAAATAAATTGTGAATGTAATTAATTTTTAATAATGTATACATACTGAATATTTCAAAAATATTGTATGCAATTGTTTTGAAATATTCAGTAAATTATTAATTTTTTTCATTCGTGTTTAGCTAATAAATTGAGCTATAAAAAAATCGATAAATACAAAGTAAAAACGAGTATTTTAACGAGATCATCGGGTATTTATTATAAATAGGAATGTGTGAAAAAAACTTGTTTTCCAAAAATAATCAATATTGTTGAATAGATAATATATTATTGAATGTAAATCATAAGTTTATAGTTTTGATAGAATTAAATTATTGAACAATATATTGAAAATATATAATGTGCAGAATAAAATAAATGACTCATCAAAAAAATAATAATTTCATAATTACTACTTTTATAAATAATCATTTACTTGGCTAGAATAATATTGGTTAAAAATAATTTTCTTCAAGAAAAAAATCGAAACTTTGGCCGAGATCATAATTTAAGTTTAAAAATGTAATTAACTTAATTTTAAAAGTAAGAATTTACATCTTAATGTTTTGAAATATATATATATATATATAGATGGTATTTGATTGTTGGTAAAAAAATTAATCAAAATGTATAGCCATTTAAATGTTATAATGCACATTACTTCAAAATATTTTGATTTTTAATTTCTTTTCAAAGTCTAAAAATAATAATTCATAAAAAAACTTCTAAATATCATTTGTATTTACCTACAAGCAGGTACCAATTGAAAATATGTGTTATCAAAGTAAAATATTATTAAAAAGTTGTGTTTCATATTTTTGCAGAGTTTCAGATATTGTTAAAAAAAAAAAAAAAAATGTAAGCAAATAATTTTTAATTAATTAAAACTATAGTTTTTAACTTTTAACAGAACGTTTTAAAATGTATGTTTACATGTGCTGATTTTTTTGATTCTGTACCACACATAAAAATGTACAGTAAATAACTTTTTGCGGTTATCAATTTTATTTTTTACCCATCATGTACTAATTTTCGCACATACATTTTCGCACGCTTTGTATGTAGTACGCACGAAGATAACATTATAGGCACTGTGTATTTGAAAACGTATCGTTTCTGTTTCCGGGGTCGGCTATATATTATAAATTGTACTGCGATGAAAAATGTATACATTTGTTTTAAGGTTTCACTCGATACGAACCAATTGATGTACAGAAGGGCTTCGATGGTCGGAACGAATTCAAACCGATAAGTGTCGTCCGGATTAGGATCCTACTGGATGGTTTTTAAGGGACTCACGACTAATAATGCGTTTCGTTCCAAATCCTCGATTTATTAAATTTAACGTAATAAATAAAAAATAAAAACAAACAAATAAATATTGAGTATAATAAATTCAACCATTTATACAATTATCATGTTTCAAATGTATTGTTACGAAAACAATATTGTTCCCAGGACACCATCGCGCGATTCCTCGCTGAAGATGCGGTAATAGAGTGTATGTTATAATATTATTTCGTGACGTTTTTCAGATATTGCCGTACGAGTGGCCGTTGATCGTGGTCTGTGGTCTAATGATAGTCTGTGGTCTGGTACTGGCCCGGTATGGCGTTTACTGGCAGAGACGGTACAAAGAGGCAAAGTGGTTAGGAGACACTGGCTGGGAATCGGGTTGCAAGAAGGGTGTGTTGGTCGTAGCCGTTCAAATGCTTCTGCTCATGTTAGGGTGAGTATAAATAATATACACCGCGAACGCTTGCACCCCAGTTGACATTTTCCATCCAATGTCTTTCAACTTATTTCGGACGGTTTCGATGGAAATGCTACGGATTGCCAGAGACGTTGATTATTGTTTCGTTTTAGAACCTCTACACAGTGGACGGAATATCGAAAATAGCTGGAAACAAATAACAAATGTAATATATATTTATTTTTAAATGTTTTAATGTACTTATAACGTTAAAGTACAAGTTTTTAATAACATTTAAGATTTTTTTAGAATTTATCAGCCATATACTAAAAATACATGAAACAAATTTAACATGAAATACACTATTTTATTTAAAATTTGAGTCAGTTATCATAATCGTTTTTTCGGAAGTAATTGAATTCGAACAAGTGAAAAGAGTCAACACTTCAGAGGATAATGACATCATTTTTTTAGAAGGATGTGGCCGTATTGATGATATAACCGAATCAGAAGTAACAATTAGACGATGAAGAAGATTAATATTTGTATCAATTCAACTGGTTTTCCGAGTAAAATGCTCTCGAAAAGATTTATAATGCTTATTTCTTGCTTCCGAGGCTTCCTCAGATAATTGTTCAATTGGTAGTAAGCAATGTTTTATAACATCAGTACCGTGTAATAAAATTTTATGAACACTAGCCGGCATATAGTACTAGTTATAGTGTACTATGTAAAGTTTTGCCGTGCCCATAGCATACTTTTAAAATGCCTTAATATTTATATGAAAACCACTTGAAATTGTTGAGAGTATTACTCCAAATCTAGATACTAGTTATACATTTAATCCAGTAATTTCTGCTGATAATATAGCATTTTCAAAAAACCATCTAGTAGTATTACCATCATTACTAGACCCACTAACTTGCTTAGGTTGATCGATAATGATACCAACTTCTTTACGAAAACGATTAATGATATACGTTTTTCTATTTTGAAATGATTGTTTTTCTTCTTTACCCCTCATTTGCCATTTCTTTACTTCTAACCTGTACAAAATATGCATTAGACACTCAAAAAATCGTATATGTGCATGGAGTGTAGACAAACCAAACGAATATGTTGATACATTTTTAGTTCTATTTTTAATAAAATCTATGTTGTTCATATTTTTTGGAGACACTCCATAAATATAGCAAACCTGGGAACTTGTTTCGGTTATTGCATTGCAAACTTTTCCGGTAATCATGGTAAGCAACAATTTGTTGTTAATTTTTAAATTTGATGAACCAATAATCACTTTTGTTGGTTCCAGGCTTTTTATTTGATTTTCAATATAACGGACTTCATTTTTAATGGTATCCTGTGTTTCTTTTTCAAACAGAAATCGAACTGGTCTGCAGAACCTAGTTGATGACGGACGTGGATTTTTCCATATTATTATTTTTTCATTATTGCTTTTTTGAAGTCCATATAACTGAATCGGTACAAGAGATGTCATTAAAAGATTTGAATCACTAACAGTATTATCAGTCAATTTCTGTTTGTATACACTTTGACCAGAACTGACGCCAAAACCCCATTTATATTTACATTCTACCGAATCTGGCTGTATATCATTTATGCATTGCTGAAGAACTGTTTCTTAAATTTTGACGATTCTGGAAGTTGTAGTATTTAATATTGCCTGTACTTTAATTTCCGCAGATGACTCGGTAATGATAATACTGTGGTCAGGGGGATAACATTCTTTTTTATATTTTTTATAACATCATAAAAAGGAAAAACATTAACTTCTTTTTCTTTTAGTCGTTGGCGCAATGTCATATATTGTTGCTTGCTGAAGTTTAAATCTACAAGAATAGCCAGAGCTTCTTCAGGGGTAAATATTTTATTATTACTAGATTTCTGCGTAAACATTTTATATGCTTTTTTAAATTTGTATGCTCGAGTTGATGTTGTTTCAGTCACTTTTTCAATAACTGTTGATGCGTGTCTTTTACCAGAAGACCATAGGCTTAGACGAGAAGCAAATGCTAGTTCTTGAGAACTATGTGAATTTAACAAATATTGAACCATTTTTTTTTTGGTTTTATCACACCTTTCTTGAAAAAGTTGTTTTGGACGGCCACGACTTTTAGTTATATGACTATTAGCCTCATTTTTATTAAAAGAAAAAATTAATTTAGTATCTAGCCAAGGACTATATTTTGAATACAATTTTTTTTTGCACTACGATTACACTCTTTCCATTTTTTTTGAAGGCTTGATAAAAAAGTAAAAATAACTGGAGAAATATTTGATTGAATATTGTCTACATTTAGTTTATTTTCTATATATTCAATAATGATTTTTCGAGATTGGGCGTTCAGTGGTCTTATATTTCTATTTTTTTTTTTAAAAATTCAAACAATTCTCTACGCATGACACCTAACAAAAATAATTATTACTTTGATAGAAGCAATGAAGAGCAAATAAAATATATGTTTAATTGAATTTTATGAACTTTAGAATAATTTAGCATAGTATTTTCAAAGGTCAATTTCGACCATTTTTTTTAAACTGCTATCAAAGTTAAAATATTTAAAATTAAACGTAAAATGTTGCATTGGTAATTTATAATACTACCAAATAGATGGTTAAATTTATAAACATAAAAAAATAATTCAAACATACTTTCTTTAGTATCATCCATATTAAATAAAATATATTATACAGAAATCAAATGACTCTTACAACTTGAAAAGTCAAACGCAAATAACTCAAAATATTATACGGCAGACCAACTATTAACTTATCGCAGATTATCGTTTACAATTTGAAGTTTGTTAAATATTATTATATCTTAATTACTACAGATAGGTATTATATTATCTTGACTATAGTAATATAATAAACAAATTGTAAAAGATAAAAGCAATTATACGATAGGTGAAAATTATATTTTTTCCACCTATTTTCGAAATTCCGCCCACTGTGCTGTATGGAGGTGTATACGTTATACAAAATACGTTATCGTCGAGTGACAGCTTTGAATAGACACAAAACCCAAGAAAAAATACCGACAGTGGAGTTGAACGAAATATTGGCAAATAAAATAAGAAAAAAATAAAAAAACCATAACATTTATTTATTTTCACCAAATCCTTCGATCTCAAACCATATCTAAAATGTATGTAAGCACCCATATTGTTCTTTTTTCTGCAAGCTTGTTGTAGCTCTCTAACAAACTTCTTAACAAACCAATACACTTGAAATTTCTCCTAATTATAATTTACTCTGTAGTATTCAATAAACTTGGTAATCGAACAAGCAAAGCGATCTAGGTCCTCAATGATATAATTTTGAGTGTTAAATGTTTTTCCTAACATTTACATTTTACACATTTTTTTACCAAATCTTAATTGAAAAATCAATAAATCCGATTGTAACAATTGTTTTCTTTTTTTTCGCGTGAAAATTTACATAGTCACAAGAGACCGTAGATTACTAAATTCTATTATGAGTTTATATTGTTTTTCAAACAAATGCTTTAATTTATTGTTGTTTTACTACGTGCATATATACACAGATATCATACAAATAGTGCAACATTGGCTTGCACCGATTACGACATAAACATCCTCCGTGTTCTGTCCGTATTTTTTTTAATTTGCATTTCATGCGAGTATACACGTTTACCGGTCCATTGTAAACGTCATAAATTTAATTTTACTTTCCATTTGCAGTTTCGGATTTTTGCTTTTTACAATTATGTTATCATGTTATTCTACAGACAAATTCTGGTCATGCCGTTCAAAGAGTAACACTATGTGTGTACGCAATTAAAAATGTATTATTAAAACTATAGGAACATATAAATGACTTGTCACATTATTGTTTTAGTTAAACTCACGATGAAAATTTAACTGACGACTGTTGTTGTAATAATATTGATTATTGTTTACAAAACGGATTTTTGTTGCAAGATTTTCGTGCGGTAGAGAGAGATAGAGAGATAGAGAGATAGAGAGATAGAGTACAATAAATTTTCACCGTTACTCCGACCTACTGTAGGCCATTCAGCTATTCATTAAAAAGCGTAGAAATTTATTAACTGCTGTGCAATTAATATTTCATCTATTGAAGGCATTGGTCGAAAGACGCAAAAATCAAATATGAACATGAATAACACATATAGCAACAAATATAATCGTATACAGACCCTAAAAAGAGAGAGATGGGGAATGCAATGTTTTATCCAAAGGAATTTTAAACGACAAGGGTCAACTGGATTTAAACATGAGCTTATAGTACGGCAAACATTTAACGAACGAACCGTGAGCCATGTCTGTCAACATGATTGTCCTTAATCGTTTGCTTCAAATACGGGTTTCACACCCTTTCAGTAATAATTTCATAAGCGGTTTACTTTGTACAATAACTTCAGTAAGTATCTTTTTAATGTAGGGATGTAAAATATAATTCAGTTAAATGAATCGATTCTCCTATTTCAGATCAAGTTTATTGAATTGATTCAGTGATTTACTTCGAATCATTTAAATATAATTTTAATTTAATTTAAATTATAATTATACTAATAATAATACCTGCCGATTTAGATTGTTTGTATATCAACTGTAAATTAGTTATTAATTTTTTTAACAATTAATTTTAAATTTATAATTGTTATAAAATTATAAATGTAATCCCAGTGGTATATTTAGACTAGAAGCCTCCAAAGGTACATCCAAGTTATGAGGGTGAGTAGGGAGGCATAGGATCTATATCATAACTATAAAATAAAACTGAACTTTTTAAATTTTTTTGCAATATTTTTGTTGAAAAAAATGTTTTGACCACATTTTGTATTTTTATTTTGAATTCAATATAAATATTGCTATTATTATAACTATGTATGAACACTAATTTAGATAATTATAACTATTAATTTAATAAATGATAAAATAAAAATAAATGTAATTTTATAGATAAATTTAATAGTGTTGTAAAAAAAATAACATAGAAATACCGTAATAATTTAGAAATAAAATAAACAGAGATAATATCATATAACAATGACTGGATTTTCACATAAACTGATATCATTGGTTATTGATAACCACGGAATACTCTAAAATAAAGTATAATTGAATGACAGATTAGTTTGAATCGTTTAATTGACTTCTTTGACTTTTGATTCTGTAAAATAATCAATATTATCAATGAATCGATTCATTATTCAATACTGAATCAGCTCAATTGGTCTATCTTACTGAATCGCTACAGTGAATCTAATCATTCATAAATTACCCATCTCTAATGTAATGTTATCATTTGACGTACCTATACGTTTTATCATTACGCAGTGAAATAATCACTTTCAACGCATCATTACAATATAATTTAATTTTAATTTAATCATTTATTTCTATGTATAAACTAATCTGTTAATGGTTTTAATATTAATTTACGAGTTTTAACCATTTATTAATTTTTACCGAAATGTAAAATAATATTATAATAGACATTCATTAGATATAGTTTTATGGATGTAATTCAACATACAGTTTGTCCCACGAAAACCCTTCGTATATTTCCTGAGATAATGAGTACAAAATGTATACGTACTTCTTATGTTTCGGTAAAAATAAATCATTTTTTTTTTGATATTTTCGATAAATTTATACAAGGTCTTATATATAATATATTTTATGGATATTTTAACGTTTCAAATTTTTATTTTCATTAACCTTATAGTTTTAATTTTATTTTATTAGTTAAAAAAAATGAAGATATTAAATAAAAAATAATTTTCATATTATCTAATATGGTTTTCTAATAATTAAACCACCATTTTGGCATTATAAAGTAGAATATTTTTCTGTAAAGATATATGATGTATCTTCGCGTTATGTTGTACACAAAGTTGAGGAAATATCTATTACATTATTTTGTACTCAAAATTTAAAAGTTTCGTCTGTATATTTGCACTATTTTGACTGTACCTTTGGGGTTATAATTTATTGTAAATTACCTTTAAAAACGAGTAATAACGGATCGTAATATTAATATATTTTGACAAGACATTCGTATATGTTAAAACAGGCAATAATGTATTTGCGTTATTGATATATGGTAATCACAAAATGTTGGCTATTTTACTTTTATAATATTTTGTTAACTCTTGTCGTAAATTAATATACAGTTCTCAAACAGAAAACGATCGGTTGTTATTTACATTTTGGATTGACGTCGTGAGTACAAGTATCTTGTAGCGGATTTTTTGATATTTTTGAAATTTGATGCTCAGTTCCTAACAGTTTATATATCTCGTAAAAATAAAATAAATGTTCAAAGTACAGTTTATTTTTTTAGATATCAATAGATCCAAGAAAACATCAATTCATATAAAAAAAAAAAAAAAATTGAATTAATTAAGGGCTAATGATTTGTCGCTAATTTTTAACAACAATGTGTCCTGTAAAACGTTCGGTATTCACTTACAAATAGGGAATGGTAGAACATTTATATATTAGCGGAAACAGGAATTCCACCTTTTTAATACTTGGCGTTATAAGACTGTACATCGAATGGCAAACCGGATTTATGGTGCACATATTTCAAGCCCGGAGGAAAAATATATGTGAGTGTTGTAAAGTTTCTGGAATGAGTTCAGTCGCTAAGGGTTTGTGTACGTATAAGCTCAAATTGTTAGCGAAATCGGTCGTTATGCTTATAACTATTGCATTATCGTTGTTTTCTTTTATTTTGAAACCGAAAATACCAACCGATTTTCCGCCTAATTTATAAATATAGTATGTTATAATATATATTGTATACGCTCTATAATTTTGCCGTATTCAGAGCTGGTGCTTGCGGACTGTTGGTAACAAACGAAACAATGGGTTCCGCCGTAACTAGTGTCGGAGACTTACTCGAATTCGGTGTTGGTGACCTGGTGGATATGTTTTCCGTAACTCAGAAACAAATCCGGACCATAACTGTCGGATCAATGGATTCCACTACCGATGCAATTTTTTCAAAACTAGACGGTATGCAAATTACAGTCGGATGGTTTGTATATCGACTATTAGTAAATTAATATTAAAATGTGAGCGCGAAATAGTGAAATACTTTATGTCTAAATAAGTTATGTCATAATTGTATGTTTATATTATATTTATTTATTTTTCTTTATTATATATTTACGTTTATTTAAACGTCATTGAAAAGTAAGTACTGAAGAAAGTAATAGCAAACGTTCTGTAAACATATTCATTGTATTGTGATTTTTAATTTTTATTATAAAGTCAAGTTATAGAAACTGTCTGTATAACTGTATAAACTTTAAATCGTTATTGCATAAAACAAGAATTGATGAATTTAAATACAATTCTTAAATATTTCAATGTAATATATAATATTATTATATAATAGTGTTTGAAAAATTACATGAATAATGTGAGACATTAATGTACCAATTGTAAATCAGGGACTGGAACCTATAGGTTTTTTCGGTTCCGGTTTCGGTTTCAGTTTTTTAAAAAAGTAAGGGTTCTAGAACCGGTTAATTTCGTTTAATTTTGATTATTAGAGATTTTAAAAAATAATATGAAATTATTTATTTATACTTGTTTAAATTGTAATTGTTTCATTTAATGAAAATAGAAAGTATTATGAATAATTAAAAAAAATAATTATAAATATATTAAATACGTACAAGTATATTATATCAGCCTATTATATTTCTTTGAGTTAGGTTAAGTTATTTTATTTTAACTCATAGTAAAAATTTGTAAAATATTTTGTAATATTGTGAAATATTATGATTTGATGAAATAAATATCTTTAATTTAAAATTTAATTTTAATTAAAAATCAAACTTAATACTGGCTACTGTTGTAGCTACAGATTTGTATAAACATTAATTATATTAAATACTTAATAGATAAGATAGATCAGGGTTTCCCAAACTTTTTTTCTGTCGGACCCCTTAGAGATAATAAAAATTATCTCGGACCCCTTAGTACAAATAAAAATTAAAAAAATATTAATAAATAATAATAATTTATATATTTTAAATTTTCGTTCGTGGACCCCCGGTGTGCATGCGGACCACAGTTTGGGAAATGTTGGGATAGATGATATACACAATTGTTGGTAAATTGTAATATATTAATAAACATACAAAAATAATAATAATAATAATAATATTACAAATTTACTTAGGTATTATATGTATTATGATATTACAGTTAACAACACAAAATAATAAAAACATATAAAGATTTTACTATTATTTTTCTGAACCGACAAATGGACAAACAAAATAGTCATTACCATAATTTTATTAGTGTAAATAACACTGACCTAAATCAACACTTTTATAATTAAGGGTACGGTTACGGTTTTTCATTTTTGGAAATAAAGGTTCCGGTTTCAGTTACGATTCTTAAATTTTAAAGGTTAATCGGTTCCAGTACCAGTTCGTTTCAATTACGGTTCTGGTCCCTGTTGTAAATTACTTGATCAATCAAAATAATATTCTGTAAAATGTATTTATTTTTATTATTTTTACTTCGATGAGTATTAAAACAAACAATTTCGAAACAAAATATATTTTAATAGGATTCAATAACATAAACAGTTATGATAGTAAGTTAGGGTTAAGTATAAAAACTATACGTTTAAATTGTTACTGTAGTATACTCGTAGAATTTATTCTGAGTAAATAATTTTTCATACACATCCGTTCACTGTTTAGAGAAATAATTGTTTTATTAAAATAACTGTGTAACTATAAGTGTAATCAATAATAATTTATAACTTTTATTGACTTTTCATAAACTAAAATACAATTTATTAATTAATTAATGGCAATACACTATCAGAGATACTTTATTGTTTTCACTTTTTGAGTGATTTATTTTATAAATATAACGCGTTGATGTTTTATCAATATATATTTTTAAATTGAAATAATAAATTATCATGTTAATATTCCTTAATTTTTTTTTTTTACCTTAAAATCGCACTAACACACATCTATAATATTGTATGATTTCTTATGTATTTTTGGTGTACTAACGAACAATTGTATAACTTAAATGATTATTGTTTTTTAATATTATTATGAATTCAAATTAAAAACGATTTTTTTGATATTTTATGAAATAAAATATGTGTTATTATATAAATAATGGTTTTCTTATCAACATGTACTATATTATATATTTATGTTAATATAAATATGAAAACTTTATTTTAAAATTGTAGCTTATATTTTCATTTTGATGCAGTTAATTAATTTTGATATTTTCAATGTTTATATAAAATTACTGCCGACTGTTGTTCGAGTATAGGTTTTAATATTTTATTATTATTTATTTTATTTTTAGACAACAATGGCAAATTTTTTTTTTTTTTTTTAATAGAGAAATAATCTCAATGAATGAACTTCGACTTAACTTCTAATTATATCTATAGTCAATTTTATACGCATGACTTTAGAACATAAAATTAAATTACTCATCCCAGTTGCATCATTCTCTCTAATCTATCATCTCAGACAGATTTATTATTAAAAGTAAGTTTTTTTCCCTCGAATTCGACATTTTACGACTTCTTAGTTTTATAACCCCGTGATAATAAAACGTGCTATGTTTAACAAGTAGCTTATATTTTCTCAATTTTCACTTTATGATCAATTATACAAACCCGCAACATTTAAATTCCTGAAAACTTTATTTGTGGATTTTACAAACAATTTATGGAAACCTGTATTTATTCTTAGTATTAAATATTAATTTTTAATTGAAAGAAAACTTATTATAATATATCGTGGATAATATTTTGAATCAATATTTTGTTATGTGTTATACATATTTGAAAAAATGTAAACGTTATCCTACAAACAATTGACATATTTAAATTCTTATTTTAATTCCATCACAAGCAATATATTTATTTGTTAAAATGCATATAAATTCAAATTATGCGCATTTTTAAACATATTAAATGTCAATTTAAAAATCAACACTGTCATGAGTTTCAAAAAGTATTTATACCATCTTTGTCAATAACTTAAACAGTAAATAATAAAACTGTATATTTTTTTAGAAATAACTAGGTTATAAAAAAACTTTTGACACGTTTTCTGCAGGCCCGTGTAGGTTAAACTCATTAACAATAATATCAATATAAAAATGTATTCAAATCTTCTTTCGTTCTCGTTAAATCTGAAGGGACGTGTTATAAACTAACTGAACCATAGTAAAATTGATTTGAGAATATGTTTTTAATTACATCTTAGATAGGATGTGTATGAACAGATCGCATCAAGTGCAAAAATAAAAAGAAGTGAGGTTTTGTGAATAAAAAATATATTATTTATTATAATAATTTCTGTCATAATTTCCTTGTATGAGTTTTGTAATATAAGTACCATTGGGAAAATGTTTGTAATATTCGTCATTAAATTGAAAAATGTTTAATTTATTTTAATAAAATATAGATCCAATATAGGTATATTATATTTATATATATATTCAAATCAATATTTATTTGTGAAAGTGTGAAATTTAGTTATGCTTTTAAATATAATTAATATTTTTTAATAATTCATAAGACACTAAAAATCGTTTTTTTTTTTTTTTTAGATTAATACATAATCAAAAAATAAATATCTAGGAGTATGAAAGTATGCAAAAAAATATTTATTTATGTTTTAAAACAACACAGTATATAAAACAAAATTTAAAGCGTAAAAGATTAACGATTGGCGTATACTTAATGAGGCGAACACAGAAAAACATGAAATACGTCCACTGTTTATATTTATATGTTCATTTAATTTGTTTATAATCTACGTCCTCCTGTTATTTAGTGGTCTAGAAATCGTCCTTTTGATTTAATTGTGTCGTTTTTCTAAAACAAGGATTTGTACTTAACCATATAGCATAAGTAGACCATGAAAAAAATGAACTAAGGATGAAATAATTTACTTTTTGAAAAAATCTAGATAAAGCTAAATAGGCTTCATGAACATAAATTGTAAATATTTATAAATATTTTAAATAGCAATCAATTATAATGGAAGTGTCTCTAAAGTTATTAATTGTTTAAAATACAGATACATTTTAAGCTATAACCAAGATCTCATTACATCAATATTATTACATATACTCCTCAAAATCATAAAATCACTTCGAAGTCGCTAGGCTTTTTCTATCTTCACCTTATTTCAATTAATCATCACTGATGTTACCGCAATAACCTATCATCTATCATACTTACTATGATATTATTTATACGTAACTAAAATATTTATAAAATATATGTTTTACCTTTTGTGATTTGGATGATTACAGTAAAATTACTACATTCACCTCATATAAAAATATTTTAATTTAAACTTGGTGTAAACAAAAAACCTTTGGTCCCTCATACTATTTTTTTTCTTGTCGAGCACTTCTGTATCTGATTAATTTTATCTGCCGTGATGTTTAATTGTGTCGTATGCGAGAAATAGTTCACCGCTAAAATCAGTATGCTGATACATGCCAAGTTTCATAATGGAACCAAGTTTTTTATAAGGTATTAGTTTAAATCATTTACACATAAATGTATTGTTCTCGAGTTCCACGAGTATAATATACCAAAAGAAAAGTTTTATTGAATATAATTTAATATCAATATTATTTATGAACAACTACAGTCATCGTTTATATTCCATGTTTGTATATTAATTCTGATTTATCGACCAATACTTACTTATACTTACTTTTTACTCATCATACAGTTCATTATACTGTTATAAAATCACACAATTAATTTTAAAGTATTTTTCGTATTTTAAGATCATAATATTTGTCTTTAAACACACCAGACTGGCACGTTTAAGTATTTTTTGTGCACATTATCAGGATTCTAGTTATGGTTCCTATAAAATGCATTGAAATTTAAATGTTACAAACAATTTTTATAAACCTATTAAACAGTTATGAAAAAAGTGATTTGTTTTGTTTTTAGATATAGCCGAACAATTAGGAGGACCCATTGAAAACGATATATATGGTCCAAGTCATATATTTGGTGGTTCTAGGAGTAACGTAACTAGATTAGTTCAAGGTGATGTATATTACAATAAGCTGTTTAGAATGTTTTTTAAGTATACTTATTTTACGTTACAGATTTTCAAAAAATATTCCCAAAAGCAAAAGATGTATTGTCCCAAGCCGAATCTGTCAAGGATGATATTATTATGTACAATAAAAAAATAATCGAATTGAATACTGAACTTCAGATGGTACCCGAACGGTGTCCACTAGAAGTCTCCGAAATGTGTAAAATTATTTCAGATAACAAACTGAAAGCAGAGAATTATACGTATTTGGTGCGTGGACAGGGCATTGTTATTATAACGTACCTATGCTTATTTTTCGTCTTATTGACAATTGATGTTATTTACCGTTCGTAGGATGATTTGATTAATTCGATTAAAGGCGTTTTAGAAGTAGAAAATGATGGACTCTCCAGCCTACCCCTGACATCAGCTGAAAATGCCAACATCCCAAAGGCACTATACGAACAGACGGAAAAAGAAAGATGGCGTAAGCAGAACGATAACAATAACTATATTATGTGCCGATAAGTATATTCAGTCGACGTTTTTTAGGAATCAAACAAACTTTGATGGATCGAAGACGTCAATTGGAGTTTTCCATATATCCATACGAAAGTCACACGCGAAAAATCGTTTCCAAACTGATGGACATGAAAGAATCAGCAAACAATTACATAGTCCATTTGAAACGGATCGAAACTTACCGATGGTCCGTTAGTGTTGGTAAGCCGTTATTAATTGGAAAACAAACATTTTCGCATACATTTTATTGACCGTATACCGCATATTGTAGGAATAGCAATCGGTGCACTCTTAGTTTGGATTTTATTAGCATGCAGTATTGTGGTAAATTATTGTTCACAGACGACTTGGGCTAAATGCTATTTCTTCGGGTAAGTTGATTTAAAAATTATTTGTGACTACTTGTATTCATGAATTAATTTTATTAATTATTATATTTTATAATAAGAATATATTAAGCTGAAGTTCCAACTAAAATAGCTGGCAGTGATCCTATTATTTTTTTTAAAGTCATTCGTATTTTCATAATACAGCCCATAAAACTTACAATTTATTAAAAATGAAATCATGATAAGTAGATAAAAATATCAAAATTTTAATAAAATAATCACGACGTAATATATAAATCGATTGAATAAGTTATGTCTTGTTATTCATTAATATGACACTTCCTTGAAAATATATAAAATTGTATTTTAAGTTTAAATGCTATTGATTATTGTTAATAATCTATTAGAGCTGAATATTTACATTTAATTATGCACAAAGTAATAATATGCTCATAAAATATAAATAATTTTATAACTAGTATAATTCTAGTTTATGAGTGAGACGAGATATGTACTGATTTTATTAGGTGCAATTTTCCCATATTCAATTTTTCAAAAAGTAAATCTATCTGTTTTCATTGATATTCCATCAAATTGAATACTATACATGAAAATTAATTTAAAGTGGTCTAACTAAAAAATAATTTAGAAGTCGATCAAACAAGTGTTTCAATTAATTTTAATAAAACAAATCAATATTTGTTCTATTGACGGGCAACTAAACAAAAGAGTCCAGATAGCCGAAAATGTTTTGTGTAGTACTAGGTATTATTATTACTATTATTACTAGGTGTTAGGTAGGACTTCCAAAAACTCAGCTAAGCTTATATTTCATTATTGTTTAAAAATCGAAATGTGACATAATAATTGATTATTTTCATGAACAGTGACAATTATTAATCTTTTGAACCTTCCAAGTGCTGTGAAAATATTTTCTATAGATAAAATTCTAACTTCATTCCATGTGCGTGTAACACAAGTGACTTTAACTCGAGTAATTTTAATTACGTACAGCACTAGATAAGATCTTAAACATATCATATTACGTCATGCATATTTTCATGCTTCGTTCAGAGTTGTTTCGCGAATTCGATAATTTATCATCACTTTCAAAACGTACCTATATAAATTTATCAGTACAAACAATACACAACGGATTACAACAACAGCGTCAACGACCTACGCGCCCTGCGCAAAGGCTTAACAGTTTAATTTTTTTCTTCTTTTTTTATGTACGACATACACTCAGCTGTGTTAGTGCAATGCGATTAACAAGCATAGCACTTTGGTTAGCAGCATTAGTGGGCTTAATGGTGAGCAGTAATGGCGAGGCGAACGTGTGCCGACCGTTGTACGACGAGCCTGCGTACGAGACCGTTACGAAAATAATGGATTGTCCGACCGTAACAAGCGAACGCGGATTTTTCTCTTCGTTCGTACTCGGCAACGAAACGTCCATAGCTCCGTTCAACGAAATCATCGAGTAACTATATGCATTATAATGTTATACTGTACAAAATTATTTACAAGACTCGGATTGTATAGAACTTAAAGGTACAAAAATATCGAATATTATATTACCCAAAGAATTTTGAAATAAGCGCATAAATATGCTATAAAAACTATGGTTTAAAACCGAAAACATTTTTTCTGATTTCGATTTTAGTTTCGGATATCGCTATATATTTTTTCCGATTTCGATTTTGATTTTGGATAACGATATATATTTTTTCCGATTTCGTTTTTAGTTTTGGATAACAATATATATTTTTTGCGATTTCGTTTTTGGTTTTGGATAACGGTATTTTTATTTTCCGATTCCAATTTCGGTTTTGAACATCGGTACTTATTTTTTCCGTTTTCATTTTTGGTTTCAAATATCAATGTTTATTTTTTCCGATTTCGTTTTTTTCTTTTGAATAACAGTATTTGTTTTTTTCAATTTCGTTTTCGGTTTCGAATTTCGGTGTTTAATTTTTAAAATTTCGATTTTGGTTTTGAATACTGTTATTGATTTTTTTTCGTTTTTTAACCATTTTAAACGGTACTCATAAAACGATATCAAATACCGGTTTCAAGCTCTGTTTTAAACTCATAAAATTATCACAAAAAACAGTTTATTTAATTTTTTTTATTCAAAACAATTAAAATTATTGCTATTCAAAAATTATTTAAGAATTAATAACGTTTAAAACGAATCGAAAGTTTGAGAAGTGCCACAACATTTTTTTTTACAATTTTATAATTCAAACTACGAGATTTATGAAAAAAAGGCAAATAAATTATATTTAATATATTTAAGTAAAAAAAAAAATAGCATCGAAACTTAAGAAATGCAAAACGTAAACGTATAAATCAATGTATTATTAAAACTTTAAAAGAAATATAAAAATATACGGTGTACAATTTTAGATTATAAATTCTTATTACGTTTAAGAAATGTAAATCTAACACTGGTATTTTTATCAATAATAATTAATAAATGTTATAGAATCCGTACTTATATGCAAGTTCGCTGTGCATAATTTTTATATTCATTTGCCGTTTTCATTTATTTAGATCGTGCAAGGGTAATCACTCGGCGTACTCCACGTTTAATTTGAACAAAGTCTTTGACGTGGAAACGAGTTCGGATTACAGCAAATGGCCAGGTGTAATGGATGCCCTGGATGGTCTCAAAACCAGAAGGGTTCACGTTGAATTGGACGTAAACAGTAGAGCACCGTCCAGAGCTGATGCATTGAAACCGATTTCCGAATCGACCAACTTAGACTTTCAAAAGTTTCGAAGTCTCGTAAGATATGTATTCGTTTACATAAGTCCCGTAGTCAACACCCCTATATATATATATATATATATATATATATAGTTCGTATATTCATAAATCAAAATAACGAAGTATGGAGATAAAAAATAAATAAAAATAATATTCTTGCGATAAAATATCATTGATTTATGCGTATCGATTGCTCAGATATAATGTTACCGTACTATTTGTTCTTATTACAAATTATTGTTCTACTAAAATAATATAGTGTTCATCATTCTTTCTTTCGTTACGTGTTAATAACATTTTTATTTTGCATTGCATTACCATTATATGAGTTTTTTTCTTTAAAATTTGAGCAAATAAAAATATATTATGTTTGCAATAATATTATTCTGAAATGTACAGATTTTGACATCTTCGTTAGAGCATGGTCGGGTGACTTTACTCCGCGATCAGCTCAATACACTTTTGACGCAAACGACAACTTTCTCGAACACATTTAAATATACATTGAAACATGTGGTGGCTAATATTTCGGATTTAATCGAAAGCGTGATGAGTCCAATGGGTCAGAGGAAAGTAAGGAGCATTTCTACCTTATTGAAAATAGAATATCATATAGTATATTATTGGTATTCAATACAGAATATGTTACTCTATCATTTAACATTGATGGAAGTCGAAATGGAACCACTATCAGAATCATTAAATCAAACTTGGGCAAACGCGTACACTAGAATCGAGAATTCTGACTTTGATCAAATATTGCGAAAGGTAAACACATAATATGTTAAGGTGTACAAGATCAAAGTAACATTGATAGAAACTTATTGATTTTTTTTAACAGTATAAATCTTATGTTACATTACGTTACCTACCATTTATTGATTGATTTGGAAATATATAACCTTTAAATAAATGATGTAATACATATTTTAAAGGTTAATTAAGTCTTGTTTTATCTAGTACTCTGGAGTATTCAATGTTGTTCTAATATGCTGACAATATAAGTTTACTGTATAATAAATAGATATTTACTGAATAGAAATGTATAACTCGTAAAAATACTAAATTTAAAATTAATAATGCAACATTATTGTATCTTAAGCGAACCAATTTTTTTAGAATATGGCTCAATACATGAACAGTATTAAATCACTGCTAGAAAAATACAAGTCGCACGTAACTGAAGCCGTAAAAACTGAAGCTACATCATGTAGACCTGTGTGGAATATCTATAGAATCGGAAGAGATTTAGTATGCAGACAAGCCTTAGATTCACTGGTAAATTATTATATATCTATTCTATTTTTGACTATTTCAGATTATAAACGATTATTTACTTGCCCTTTTAATTTCAGAATGGATTTTGGGTTATATGTTTTTTTATTGCCATGTCGATTACTGTAGCAATACCGGTAGTGAAGAATTTGAAAATTTTTCACAAGTCTCCGTTGACATCTATGTCTCTTTATACAATACCTCCACCACCAGCGATGGAACTTATGTGCACGAATAATTAATTTAAAAATCGACAGATCAAAATTGTTTTAGAAAATATTCATGTAAAATAAATTACTTGCTAGCTAAGGTAATATCAAACAAATCCATTGTAGAAGATATTTAAAAATTACAATAATTTTTTTTTTTTATTAAATTCAAAAATTAAAATTGCTTGAACTGTATAAGTATCTGTTAATTAAAGCTATAAATATTTTTAAAGTTTTCAAGTATACATGAGATATTTTTTAGGAAATAAGTGTTTTTAAATGTAATCGATATTTGTAAATTATATTAAGTACAATTTTGCCTACTATAGTATCACAAAGGAGGGTAATTCTAAAGTTTACATTACAATATGGTGCACAAAGAGAAATTAAATTATTTTATCAAACTTTGGAAATATAATTGCATTGTGAGAGATAATTTAATACTTACTAATGTCGTCACATATGGTTCTATGAATTATTCACAAGTAATATTTATTACTCAGTTAAACGATACGTTAAATAATATTCCTAGAATAAACATATTATAATTCGATGTAATATCATAGGGAAACCAACAAACAATTTTACACATATGCGTAACCACCAAATACCTGTAACTATACGTAAAGCCAAAAATATGTATGTAGCAAGAGAAGTGCATATTTTATAATTCGCATTTTTAGAATTGAGATGAATCGAATTTGTAGAATTTATTACTTTTTAAAATTTTCACAAAAGGCTATTTTGATGGAAGATTAAATAACATGAATCATTATACAAGCCGAGGTACGTACTGCATTCATATAGAGAATAAAAAAACTGAAGTGTCTCTCATAAACAAAGAATCTTTGTGCGACACATGTGTAAAAGAAAAACAAATTCAGAAAGAATGAGTAGAAATTTTTGAAGGACAAAAAAAAGCTACAGAAAAAATGATACAATTTAGTGATAAGAAATTAGTTATAATTAAAGTTGGGAGTTATGTTTTAGTTAATATTCCAAAGGTAGATCGTGGACCATTAGACACACAAAATATAATTGGCAAAGTTGTCGACAAAAAAAAATAACGTTTATCAAATTGGTACACGATTTGGAATTATAAATACGTGGCTAAGCAGAAATGTATTACAGACAACCGATGCAGAATTTCTTGACGAAGTACCAGATATAATTATGACACTAAGAGAAATAGCGAAGAAACATTCTCAATTTGGAGGGTAAGGTTATCAAAAATATTTTTGCAAAACATTGTGCAAAACAAATAAATGCACTTGTCGGAAAAACAATGTACTGTATAGCTCAAGATGCCACTAAAAAAACCACATGTTACAATAAATAAATACCTTTATATTATTAATAAATAATAATGTTCCATGTTATTCATTTATGTTACATATTTGTACTGTGTTATTATCAATAACCCTTAAAATAAAATAATTAAAATGGTTTTTACCATAAAATGATTGTAGTTCTTAAAAGGCCTAACTGAAATTAGTATGTATGAAATGAGCCTAAAAAACAGCAGGCTGTTTGAAAAAATAGTAAGTAATTCTTAAAAAGCCTAACAGCTGTTAGTCTGTATGCAATGAGCCTAAAAAACAGCAGGCTGTTTGGAAAAATAATAAGTAGTTCGCAAACGGGCCACCCCATTGCAAAGAGCCTAGTCTTTTGCAAAAAAAACTAATTTTCCATATGACCTACGACATATACATATAATTAAATACTAATAAAACGTTGAAGAAGATATTTTTTAGTATTTTTTCGATAATATTTTGTTATGTAGATCCCATTAATAAGATTAAAAACAATTATTATATAGAATTACACTTTCGATTTTTAATAAATTTATCTAGTGTTCACTTGATAACTTATAGTTTATGGATGAAATAATGCTATTTCAGTGTGTTACATTAGGTAATAAAAAATTTAATCTTCCTAAAAATGTCTAAAAACGAGTTTTTATTATATTTTTGTAAGAAATACGGTTTCTTTTATAATCATATATGCTGAGCATAGTTTCTATAAAAATACAAAATTATAAAAAGGTTGTGATCTTAAGTAAAAGAGCCATTGAAAGTTTTTTTTGTTATAATTTTAAACATTTTGCAGAAAACGTTAAGACAGTATAATAAGTAAGAAGTTGAGAAGAAGAAAATATGTTGCCTTTGATACTTAGTTTTTCTTTTACAAACTGATTTCAATGGGATCTTAAAAACAATTTAAACTATAACATGTAAAGTATTTCATTATTTTCATGCCAAATTTTACCACAAATTTGATCAAATTTTTAATTCGAGTATTCCCCAAAGGGCCGTGTAAGGGGGGGAGGCATAAGGGGGTGATTTCCTCCGAGCACCCTAGTTTTGTAAAAGTAAGGGGCGCCCTTATCTACACTTAATATGCTACCTGTGCCCAGTGGCCCCCAAAAAAAAAAACGTTGCTCCGGGGCGCTGAAATGTTTGACACGGCTCTGTTTGTACTGAATACATAGAATGCTCAAAGTTTGGGTTCTAAATTTCTGGTCAACAAAACCCATATGATGATCTAACATACCCAATATACTTTCCATTAATCATTATGAATAACTTTGTTCCCTATGTATACTTCTTTCTCCATGGTTAAAAAAAAAAACAAGGAAGGTTTTTGTGTATTTTCAACTATGAAAAATTATCTTTCCAAAACTATATTGTAAAACTAACATAAATTGGATACTCGAGATACGTATAATAAATGTCTTTGGCTTTTATTGTTGTTTGAACACTTTGTAATTTTCATTACTAATTTTTTTTCCTTCATGATTGGTCTGGATCTCATGTGCTTTTATATTTTTTATACTTTGGTCATAATATCGGTCTATTCCAACAACGCAACCATAATCAATAATATTTATAGGATTTTATTACATTAAAAAAAGTTAGTTTTTTTTTAAATACTTATAAAATGATATTTTCAATTTTAATTTCACTATTTTTTTTATTTTTAATTATTTCATTATTCATTTTACTATTTATTCTCAAGAGACAAAATAAACATTATAGAATGGGCGATGCCTGTTTCTACCAAAAGTAGACCTTTCCCTTTTCCACCAATACCCGTTTCCATCAAAAGTGTATCATTTCCTTTTCCACTAATATCCGTTTTCACCAAATGAAATATTGACCACGTTTTTATCAAAACAATTGTATACTACGCTTAAATTAAAAACCATAGCACAGAAATAACTTTATTTAACATATACCATTAATTCAATAAATGTAAAGGCATTATATAATATATACAATATAGGTTGGAAAATGTTAAAATTTATTTAAAAACATGGTCAGATATAAAAAGATGAAAAAATAATATATTATAATATACGATGCCTTAGATATGTAAATTGTAACTATATATATAATTAGTTGATATTTATTAACCATTCCAATAAAAAATTTAAAGTTGTTTAGTACTAGTGTTTTATTTCCACGCTTACTTCCGCTAACTTTAGCCATCATAGAATTATAAATTTTAAAATGTACGTTTTATTTTAATACACACTATTTAATGCACTATTTAAACTGTGCCATCTTTTCACTTGTTCATAAAGTATTTGATTATTTAGATATTATAATGGTTAATGTACATAAAAGTACATGCATAAGTACGATAACGGTGTAACATACAATTAAATACAATAAATGTACAATATACATTGATTATATTGAGTGTATATTTATATATATTTTAAATCAATCCGAAAAACTCATGAAAAGTATAGGTACTTTATCTTATTTGATGGAAACAGACATTGGTGGAAAAGGGAAAGATACAGTTTTGGTGGAAACGGGTATTGGTGGAAAAGGAAAAGATCTACTTTTGGTGAAAACGTGTCACGCCCTATAGAATGAAGTGAGAAAATTAGATGAACTATTAATTAAAAAATCTGCTTAAACTGTATGAAATATAATTTATTCGTATTATTTCATTATCTGCAATTTATTTCTTAAGTAATATATTCTAGGTCAGTGGTGCACAGTATATTTTGATCCATTAACCTACTAATATTATGTAAGTATATAATATATGTTTACTTAAAGTATATAAAAACTGTAATCATATAAATTAAATCATTAATTTTAGGCAATATTAATATTTCTTTAATTTAATAAATCCAAAAAATTAAAAAAAAACTACAAAATTAGATTTTTTTTTGAAAATATAAAATTATATAAAATAATATACTTAATATATAATTATTTTATTTGGTGTTAAATTATTGGAAACCCCTAAATCGCAGATCACTATTCTAGACAGATGGATAATTGATAAAAAATATTGAACAAAATTAATTTCAATCTCAGCATTTTTTCTATGATCATCTGCACTCCAAAAATGCATTATAATATCTACTGGTACACGCAAAAGGAGTAACTTAATGAAACTTATATTTATCGAACAATAAACACATAGTGCTTGGTGACTCGGCTTCTACTTTTGTCGTTTATCATTTTTTATAGTGTTGATAATATGAAATGCATTTTATGCGATAATTATCATTACTATAATTATAATTTTACTCTTGTAACTATATTATATTATTTTTAAAAAGAATAGCATTCAATTGATTTTGTTTTATATACAGTTTAAAATGTAAAAAGAATATTTTAAAAATAATAGTACATCCAATTATCGACCAATTACCATTATTATTATGAATATTATATTGTGATAAAAGTGAAATTATAATTATATGTAATGATTTTTATCATAAAAAATATTTTTTTATAATACCAGTTTTATAAAAGGTGATGAGCGATAAAAATATGAATCCAGCGTCATATTGTGTTTGTCGTTTAGTGAACCCAATTTTCATTAACGTCACTTGTACCAAAATTTATAAATAAAATATTTCATTATCAATTGGTTAGGTTAGCACTTGTGTGATCGAATACATTAACTGTTGCTTGTCCTATTGTATGTCACTTGACTAATTTTTCGGTCGATATCAAAAAAAGTACGAAATTTTGTTTTTACTTTTCTGAAACGTAGTAAAATTGTCACTTATACCTTTTTACCACCGTCGATATGTTATGTCTAGTCAATAAAAATCAAAACAATTTAACCGTCATCGTGTACTAATACTTTCAATGTCACTTTATTTCTTATTTGATAGTCGATAAAAAAGAAAAACATCGAACATCTTAGATGTTAAACCTCCGTGACTGGTATGAAACATAAATTGATTTATTTTGAGCATCACTTAAAAGGGACAACATTGTCAATATAATATCTAACACTCGAAATGGGTAAGAACCTAAAGGAGAAGAAGTAATTTAATAAATTAATTAATATTATATAAGTAAATAAAGTATATTATTCTTAACAATGTTAATTTGATTTGTACAACAATTAGTAAATTATACCCGAGTAAGTATTTAAATATTTAAACTAATTGCTTTTACAAGTGGAATAATTATTTTTAATTTTTTTTTCGTTATTCGAGTTACATTTAACAATGTTTTTACAAATTTAATTATCTATACAATTATTACACCTCTTTTAATAATAACTTAACATAGCTTTAAATATAGAATAACTTAACTTCTTATTTAAATTGTAGCAATGTATTTTACTATCTTTTTTCCATAGAATAATATAATTACATAAAGTTTTAGATCAAATAAAATGGTGTTATTTACAGTATATTCACTTATCTCTCAATATAAATAGTATTGGGCCGTTTTTTTTGTGCCGATTAAAGATAAATCTAATAATAAAATTCAAATGGACTAAGGATCTAAAATTTTCAGTATCAAGTTTAGTTCAATCAAATAATTGTTTCAAAAATATACATGTGTCATACTTATTGAGTTATTGATTTACAAATCTTATATTTGTAATTAAAATCAAAATCAATTACAAAAATAAAAAAATAAAAAAATAATTTAGAAAATTTTAAGTATGGTATATAATATATATATATATATATATATATTATTGTATATTATGCAATTTCTAAGTGTTATATAACAAGTTAAGTTTTAAATATTTTTACACCAAAATTTTGATTTGCTCAATGCCTATAGTTATACTCGATCGTGATAAATATAAATAAAACATAAATCAGTTAGGTTTCGTTTAACCGTTCGTAACCCAATCATTCAAATTTGGATGTGTTTTAATACAAAATAAAAAAAAATTACTGTTATCCGAATGATTTATTAGTTTTTTCTGAAATAAATCATCAATAATATAATAATAATATCATGATGTAGAAATAGAAAAAATCAAATCTTGATTCGTTATTATTTTTTATGTTGTTGATCAAATTATTTATTTTTTATTTAAATTCAAAACTGTTTTTGAAATAAATTTTCTATGTATTTATTTCATCAAACCATTTTTATAGTTGTGCACTGAATTTGAATGAATACAATCAGTTATAATATGTCTTAATATAAGTACAATGTAATAATTGTCATGCTATAATATCCTAGAGATAAAAGTAATAAAAAAAAAAAAAAGTACAATGGACAATATATTATTGTTAAACTTGATAAATTATAACAATATTAGTGACAATTATATTTATTTGATTTGAAAATTGTGTGGGTTTGTGTGTGTAATAATATTGAACAGTGAATGAAATTTGTGTGGGGCACGGCCGGGCACCAAGACATTATGTGTAGGTTTGTATTTTATATTGATCTTATAGTTCAGCTGTATACTACGCATAAATGTATAATATAATAGTTTTAAAATTTTATACAGGTACGTTTGTATCGTTGTAATTTTTTCGTCATGTGCACTACGGGTTCGTATTATTACTTAGATTTTGAATAAATATATGATCCATATTTCTGCGCCTAAATAAGTTACAGTCCATAAAGTTTCTCCTTAAGATGAGGAAACCGTGAGAATTTGGCCAGCGAACAAGTACTATTATATTAATATATAATATAAACAGAGGGTCAACAATGTATATAGTATAGCGTGTAACATAATAATAAGTTGTCACATTGTTTGGGTCTTTTTATGACGGCTGTTTTCGGCGTAAAAATTCCAAGTCGATGGTCATTGCCACATTTTTCCATGTGGAAATCTCGACAGAACGTATACGTTTACCGTTAAGGTAAATACTCTAGTTGAAAAAACGACACACATCTCTCAATTAATAGCCACACACAACCCGGAGAATTAAATGTCGGAAAAACGAATTTTGAAACATCAAAAACGATATATTACGAACTTTCGGCAACAAAAAATGAAGAATGTACAAAATAGTTAGGTTTAAATGTTAAGCCATTGATTGTGGTAGAAATTTAGTATGATAATAACTGGACGAATAATAAAATATACAGCTACTATATAACTTATCGACAGTTATAAAGAGCGTATTAAATTTCGATTTTATGATCGAAATTATAATTAAGATATTACAATTATAATTTATAATTTACAAAACGGTTTTTTGTGCTTCCTGAAAAATGTCAAATGTGCGCGAACAAAGTTTCGTCAACTTATTGCATTGTAATTGTAATACGTTTATAAATATTCAGTGGCTTATAATTATGGACGGGGAACACTATGTTGGTATCAAACTGAAACGGTATGGTTATCATTGTTTGTAGGAATCTTATTATGTACTTTTTACTTTTGTTAAATTTATTTTAATATGCACGAAAATTTGTTTTTATTTTTAAGATTAAGAGAAAAAACGAATTTGATACTACGGTAAATTGCAACTTAAGAATCGATTAGGTTTCGTAATGGAGGCAGCAAAAAAAATAAAAATTGGTTGCAACTAGGGATGCGCAAACAACATCAATACAGTAAAAACTGTTTTGTAGAAAATCTAAGTGTCCTCAGGAGAGCAGTCCTGCACCGTGCGGATGAAAAAGACTTTGAGCAACATTATTCTTAGGAAACAATGATTGTCAAGTTCCTCGATGCAAAACAACTGACAACGATAAACGCATATTTTATTAGCATATACATTTTTTTTTAACAGTAGATACTTTTTTTCGAATTATACATTTATTTCATAATAAATAAAACCAATCGATTATTAGAAATATATTTCACCTTGGTCGAAAAGTGTTCCTAATAAGCGGCTTCTATTGTACTATCGTTTCATCGATAATACAGTCTAAAAATTTCGAAAATATCGATTTATCGATATATTATCGATATACCTATTATAACTATTATTTTCATTCTCTCTTTTAATGTTATTTTACATGATAAAAAGTCATAATAATTACTTTGATTATCGACTATTGGAGTCAGCGCTAATGGGAAGTTTTCCGGGGCCCGGAACAGATTTTGTTACTGAGCCCAAGACATTTTTTTCGTGAAGACAAAATATATTTTATTAGACGGTCTAGTACTCGTATGCAATATTTTTCTATTTTACATAAATTATATAAAAATATTTTTTCGTTTGTATGAATATTATGTTTTATCATCAAAACGTCAACAATATATTATTATTTATTAATTTATTATTATTATTATATTATTTATACTACAATATAGGTACCTACTAAATATAATATTGAAGTTAGATATTAAAATACCATGTACATTTACACGTGATAGAGGGAACTTGTTATTTAATTTTAAAAACAATATTATGTGGTAGACTTGCTAATGATTAAATTCCATAAAAAGCGCCGAGCCCTGAGTAGCTGTCCCTTCTGCTTTGCTCTTCCGCCGGGGCAGTTTGGGGAAACGTATTTGTTAATATTATAGATACTAGGTATATTACCGCGAACTCGACGATAGTTTTCATACCAAGATTCCTTGAATTCTCTGCGACACTCATCGACAATGTGTTGTTAAACCATAAATAAAAGTTAAACTAAGATCTATAGTCGAAATAAATATAGACTATAAAGTATAAGTAATATAATATTTACACTTTACAGTGCCTGCTTTCGTCCATCGTTTGTTAATAACTGCAAACAATTAATTATTTATCTGTGTAAAACGTGTATCACTGTGATTTTCAATATTATTGATTTATTTTTGTATGAATAAATTGTAAAAATAAGTTTAAATATATTTATAACAAAAGTGAAATTTCGAGGTGGAAAAGTGGAGTTCTTCACGTACCTCGAGGTACGTGAAATATAGTAGATCTACTATATTTCACTAAAGTCAATCAATATTTTTAGAAGTATAAAATTTCTACAAAAGTTTATAAAACGCGGAGATGGTGTTCAAAATTTAAGAAGCTATTTAATTACCGAAAGTAAAAAGGGAACTGATAAAAAGATAAAATTGCAGTACACATTAGAGAATGTTAACAAAAAACAAACATTAGGTAAAAAAACCGGTACGTATAAAAAATTTGTATTTCTACAATCCATAGATGATAAGTTTTGGCTTTGATATTCTACTATTTTTAACTTATAACTTGTAAATATACAATTTGAAAATTGTTTAAATATACAATAGCCAATTATAAATTATAATATTAATCTATACATTTATATCGATGTATTAATGAATCAATATTTCGAACCATTATCGTTTTTGCGCAACCTTAGTAACAACTGCGTCGATCGAACGTGCTACGAGTGACGTTTGCGATCGAATCTGACCAGTATCCCGCTGAAATATACGTAATAGTGACGTAGTGGGGACGGAAGGACGAGAGAGGGTAAATGAGCTGGTTGAACCGCACACGACCGAACAGTCGCGCGTTACCGAAACACCATGGACGGTCGTCGCGCGGTAACGTACCGGTCGTGGTCGTGGTCTAGGTCGCGATCGTGGTTATGGTCGCAAATAGTCTTCTGCTGTTGCGCTGCCGTTCTGTTAGTGACGTCGATAAATGGCGAGGTTGACGCGAGAGAACCGGTTGAAGCTTCCTCCGCCTTCGAATCACGGTGTCCGAACGATGGATGTGCCGCAGCAAATTGTCCGCACAATCAGGAAGTATGTCTACTGGGTCTGGTACCGGACCGTTGCGGTTGCTGTGCAAATGGCGTGTGCGGTCTGGCCGAGTCGCAAGAGTGTGACGCGATCAGCCGTCCGTGCGCAAACAACTTGGAGTGCGTCAAGATGGTAATAACATAATTATAGTGCTGTTCCTAAGTGAATCTCATGTATCATAATTAAAATACAGGACAGATATATGGAACATAATCGCGAAGCATATCAATCGGCCCCATTGCCACCATTGTGCACGCGAGTTAATTGTTTAAAATCGCCACCACAGTTGCTCAACCTCCCGCGTTACTTATGACGTATGCGTAATAATGATTTTGGGGCCGAACGTTATGTTTCACGTACCGACCACACTATATGTAGTTCAATACACAACCTAACAGTGGTGTGTTGAATGGAGTAATCGAGAGGCAGCGCCTTTCAGTTTTGCGAATGGGTGGTGGGTTGATATATTTTTAGTTTCATAATTATGAGTATAGGAAAATAATACACAAAAATATATTTTAATATTGACATAAGCGGAAGCTAGTGTCCAGTGGCCACTTGCTAGTAACAACAAGTAACAAATATTTATTATAAGCGAGCAATGGGTACATTTGATATAGTGTTTATCACTGTGGCCTTGTGTGTTGTTAATTTTCAGATACATTGTTTTGATTTTTATATACAGTTATTATTCAATAGAATCTCCTGCAGGGCGGGTGGATATAAAAACATACTTGTTTCGGAAAATATTTGAGTTCGCCAGGCCATTACTATCTAGTGTATATGATCAAAGATAATATTAGAATATAGTCTTGCCAAGCCCTGATTAAAGTATACAGTGCTACAGGACCACAGGATTTTCTTTCCAATTTATAAAGAAGAAGAACCGTTTAATTTAAAATCATTACTGCTACGAATGTGTACACGATTGAGTATGTGTAATGAACAATGAATATGTAACAGAATGAAGAAACTTTTTTTTTGTAATTTATATTATTTTTACCAATTTAAAAAGGCGCTTCATAAATAATTAGACTCAGATACTCTATTTATTCGAATTAAAGCTTGCGTATTACATGATGTTAGCGAAAGGTTGATCATAAACACTGCTGAGTGGAAAAACTTTGAGGAATCTTCAAGAAAAATATACTCAATACCTATCCAAAATGTATATAAAAAAAAAAATGTATAGGTAAGATTGTGACAGTGCTTTATAATAGGTGAGAAAACAGTTCTAAATAGGTGAAGTATTCCAAAAGTTTCGAACGAATATATTGAAAACAGTACTGAAATACTCATCATAATTTTATGTGGTTTTCAATGAACATATATTTTCAACGTATGTAACAACTGGTAGAAAATGCATGTTCAACTATAAATGCTCAGAGAAATTATTACATAAATAATGATTTCTCAACAATTAATTGTTACTATGTGTATTGTACACATCAATACGATGCACGTTAAAAAGCAACTTAATTATGTATGGTAAATTATAATTTGTAACCTAATGCGATGAAGAAGAATTTGACCACTCATACTCCTCTCACAACTCATTAAAACATGTTTATTAAAACTATCATTTGGATTTATTGTTTAACTACTTATTTCGAGAGTATTGAACAGTTACCGAAGTATATTCACCTGCGAGAGACCGTTTAGTAAGAGTATCACAGAGGGTCGAAGGGGTAAAATAGATATTTGTTTGTTTTTTTAATTTTACTTGTACAGGTGAAACTATAAATTTCAATTAGACTCGGCTAAAAGTTTATATAAGATCCATTAAATAAAGTTTTTTAATACGAGAAAATATGTTGGTGGCTGCCGTTCATTAAATTACCTGTTAATAATACGAACATAACAAATTTATTAAAAAAATTATTGAAAAGAAAGAAAGTCATTATTGTTTAAAACTATTAAATATTGATAGCTTTTCTTAAAAACGCATATTTTTATACACTGTCGTCTTATCAGCCATATTGATTTTTAAACTTAAGTTTAAAACATGAAAACCGGTGTTTGCTTAGTATATTAAGACCATATTAATATAAATACAGTCCATAGTCACATTTTCGGAAATAAAACCATAAAAGGCATGCATTTATTACTGAAACCATTTTTTTTTTTTTTTTGGCTTATATATCTTGCATTTACCATTCACATTTGTTGTAAAAAAAACATTTATAGTAGTATAATAATTGTAGATCATTGCCTGTAGAATCTTACATTTATTTATATTTTAAATACTACAAGGGCTACTTTCAGACGATGACTATTCGATTCGATTTTTTCATGTATACGGTTTTATCGAATACGAGACAACGATTCACACGAGAACTCTTCGATACGATTTCTTCACGTACCTAGGGGTTTTGAGTTACGGAAAATGTTTTGTAACAGCATTGTAGTCTACTCGGTAATAGTGTTAGAAGTTGGCACATAATCGACCTCATGGATTCACGTGTTCCATTTCTTTTATACTAGTACAGATGTTCAATGACATATAGTATATGTCATATACCATAAATTAGGTTGTTCTTCAATTAATGAAATAAATAATTCTATTGGTTTATTGAAATTGTCTTCCAACTTCCATCTTCCAAACAACACGTCGAACATATAGCTGATAACCACTGGGAAAACGTTGAAAACTACTTCAAGATACGGGAAAAAATTGTTTGTGTGGACGACACAATATAAAGGTAATTACTACTTTATCATGTATTCGTTAAAACTTATTCAATATTTATCAAATCATAGTGACAAGTTTATACGGGTATTTGAGAAAAAAAAAAATCACGAATACGAGATTTTTCCGCACGGACTTTCTGTGTACGTGCAAATTTAACACGCGCTGCCACTACTATATTTGATAAAATTCCATATACAGTTAACGGAAAAAAAACATTGCCGCCTAAACGTAGCCAAACGGTAAATAATAAATGTTAATCTAATTTTCATGTTATTTTTGTTTACATTTTATCTCTGGCATTATTAGACTAGGCTTTAGTCTAGTTGTCCGTATAATTTTGCCCACTTTTCGATTTCATAGAATATCCTATAGGATCTTATTTTCTCTCGACACTATACCCTGAATCCTTCAACTAAATAAAATATATGAAATTTATTTTATTTTTTTATTTTTATATAAACATATTCATCCATTTGTGAGATTACTAAATGTATTAAATGTAATGTCTGAGATAAGAAATAGAAAAGTGGAATACATTCCATGACTTCACTATTACATTGATGGACATCCTCATCTATAGGTTCTAAACGTATTAATAGCTATTTTTCCAATCGGTTAGAACATTTTTTTCTGATTAACCTAATTACCTAATCACACTCAGTCATGTCACATTAACCAACACAACAACAATCGATTTAGGTACGTCTGCGCGTATAGGATTCTTTAACTTCATATACTACTGATATATGTTGGTATACCTACTTATATATAAATATACGTATATACACTTACGATAGAGTAACTATTCTATACGATATTTTTGGTTGAGCGTGTTTGCATTTTATTGAACGTAATATTGTGATCTTGCATTATTATTACATATAGTTCTATACACGTTGTTACGTATTTTTATTTCCAAGGGTGCGAGCTCTTTAGAGACTACCACATGCTCGTTGTATGCAATTTAATTAGAGCTGGTGTTTTTTTTTTTATACCCCAAGGGTACAAAAAATAGTAGTGATATGTAAAAACAAAAAATATTGACGTTCCATGTGTGAAAGAATAAATTGTTAAAAATGAGTCTACTACAAAAAGGATAAAAATAAATTATAATGTATGCTTGAAGGTTCTGAAAGAAAACTAGGTAACTCTATAATTGACAATAATCTTATCTAAGATAAGTTATCTTTTCGTCGAAGGTCGAACACTGAAACATTTCCACAGATTTACTATTTTATTTATATTTACTCGCCAACAATATTATAGTCTATCAGTAAGTTTAGAATCACTATTAATATTAGAAGTTGGATGGAAATTATGATTTTATAAACCAGTGATGATGAAGTTTAAATAAATATAATATATCGTATAACATTTTTATTACAAGAAAAAATCTAATTGAAAAAAAATTAAAAACATAATTTATGCATATTTTAATTTTTAAATAAACACGAAGGACCTAATCTTGATGGTTTTTTGGGGGTCATTATCTCCATAACCCCCTCCTAATCCGAGCCTGAGCTATGCTTGAATGTGTCTGTGCATTTTTAATGTCTGTCTATAGATGTATAATTGTATATTTTACTCATGTTCAGAAACTTTAATAAATAAATAGGGTGTATGTATATGTTGTATATGTGTATATTCTCAGCGGCTAACGGTGTATTTACAGTATGTTTACTTGGTAATCAAGATGGCTTCATGATTGCGTTCATAGTCAAAAGTTTTGATTAACCCGACGGCGTCGCCTTATACTGCGCAATATCTTGTTGGAAGTATTGACAAAGAAAAACGTCGATTTCAGAATCATGAAAATATTTAGGATCGTGTGCTTGGCGACTTCCGACCAGATTAGATATTTCAGAAAAAAAAACATATAGATTGATTTTAACGTAACTTGAAAAACAAAGATTTATTGAACGTTCCCTTACAGAAATTGAAGTTATGTTGTAATGAGTAAATTGATAAGTATCAATTTATTATTTATAGTTCTATAATTTCTCACACACACATACACACACACACATATATATATATATATATATATATATATATATATATATGTGTGTATGTGTATACGTTATACAATGCAAAGGCTGTCAGAAAACATATTAGTTCGTGTGAATACATATTATAGTGTCCGGTGTACATGATCGAGTGTAATCCACGAGTGTGTGTGTGTGTGTGTGTGTGTGTGTATAATTTAAGGAAACAACTGGTCGTTATAGTTCACAATACTCGACAAAACAATGCGATAACCCTTAACGTCGTTTACGTTACGTTTGCATACACCCCATTGCATATTATAATAAAAAACAAACACTAGTTTTTTAATATTGTTATGCAACTACTATATACGAGTATTACCTTCTATGTATTATTATGGCTGGCAGTTGTACATACATATATATATGTAGTGTAAGATAACCGCGCGATATTACTCTGTATGTATATACACTTCGATTACATGCGTGAATTATTATACATAAATACTAAAAGTCAAATCGAGTTCCAAATCGTTTGATTGGTGAATACACAAACGATTTTAACTGAAGGTATTTTCGGAAGTATTGAAGGTTTTCCGCTATTGAATGTTATTTTTTATTAATCTTCATCATTATTTCCATACCCTTTACTTTCGTTTAAACACAAAATATACTATAGCGTGTTCAGATTTCTTTTTAGGTGAGCACGCTTATACATTATACATAATATTTATTTGATGAAGTTAGTTTATTCATAAATACAAATAATATTTTATTTTTTTTTAAATTGATGTGTATATCATATAATATTTTGTTAGAAATACATTTATACTATACAGCATACATGTTATACATCATATTATCATTTGTTCCATGGAACAGCAAACTTTTTAGGATTTATAGCGACGAAACTGGTGGGAACCCCGTGTATAAAGTATTATGAAGAAGTCATTTTATTTTACTCGTATATTTTCGACTTCCGGAGGCTTATTTTAAAGTAGGCAATGGTGATGCGGGCTTTAGGCGATAAATTTACGCTGATTGTTATTCATTCATCATGTCAGTACATCGATAGGGACTGCTGGGAAGGTCGAGAATGACAACAATGCACTGGAGCTTCAGGGCGCCAAAAATGTAAATACGTCTTTGATCCCCACCGTCTATATTTCGAGTATAAGCTTTAAATGGCTTAGGCTATAATATAGTATATAAAGTATATTTTACTCGGAAATATATATTAAAATTATTTAAAAAAAATAAAAACAACAAAGTTATGTCTTTATTGAACAATAATATATATATACGAGTATCTATCAACATTGAAGAATTGTTGTTTAAATACGAATACATTGTAACAGTCTACAATTAATATAACGATGTATACAATATCAAGTAATAACAATACGTTCATATGTAAGTTAATGGAACAGTTTTTTAAATCATTAAAAATTCCAAAAATGAATAAATCAATAGCTACTTAAAAGGTAATCGTTCTGTATGTTTTATTAATGACCGTGAATTCAGAAGTTGTTAACAATTAATGGTCAATGTATTTCGTGTTGACAAAAACATTGATTTTAGCTGACCGATTACGGAAACGATCAAACTTTAAACGCATGGGTCATTTAATTCTGATATTAACATTGAAAAATATGTCGACGCTTACACAACGACATATGGCAGTGTCTTTATAGCCTATAAAATGTTTGTATTTGAGTTATTTACGTGACTATAACATTTTTGATAATACAAGTACAATCTGCAGGACGAAACGATACTGAAAAGGACTCTTACCTACATATTTAAGCTATATACAATCTAATAATATTTCCAAGTATGTATGGTGTAATACATATTTTTATATCTGTCATAAATTTCATATCGAAATACCACGTGTTTTGAATTATATGACAATACTGCAATATTAATATATTATATATTGGGTTAAAAACGGGGACAACATTATCGTCAGAAAATTGTAAACATTTAAATGTGTGGCTAAGTAAAAAATAGTCCAGGTACTAAACGAATGTGTTTACAGGTGTTCTGGTTTCGTATCTTTATATTTAATTTTGGGTGATTAAGAAACATCACGATCGAAAACCATCCAAAGTATACTACTTAAATACTATTTGAAAAATATTATATCCGATTTATCGGAAAACTCTTCGATTTAATAGTTCGCAAGGAGGATTCGGACGCATAAATATTTTTTCGTTTACGCTTTGACAAAAGTTAATCCTACAATATTATATATGATTGTATTCGACTGTTGAACATAACATAATAATAATATTATTATTCTGTGCAGATTGGAGTGGGTTTAAAATATATTTCACCCAGTGAAGATTGAAAAGATCTTATCAAAGAAATGTTGCACTGGCGATATTCGTATAGGTAGTTGTTGTTCTTGCCATTTATCCGAACAACATTTAACGACCTTTTTTCAGTTACAATGTGCATGTTCGACTCTCAATCAATGGAATACACACACACACACGGAACAGTCTATAAGTGTATACATATATGTATATACATAAGAGGAACATTATTAGGAGCATATATATGTTGAATACGTGGATAAAATGTTCGTATAAAAATTAAAACGATTTCCTTTAAAAAGGTTATTTGTTGAGCCGTACACGTACGACCTGCGTCGGTTAAACATAGAAACATAAGAGTGCACGCGTAATCACTGAATATCTATAGCGCTTGTCCCGCACTTGTAATCATTCTTTTCCACGAGTCGACCGATGTTGAATTTATCTTTCTCACAACTACCCTGCACACGTTCTTAATTTTCTTTGATGTTTTGTGCTACACAATTTTGTCTCGTTTCATGGCAATCACTTTGTCGGCACATAACGTGCGAAATTTTTAATTCTGCATTGCATTCCTATCATTACTTGCATCGTAATAGATGATTGATCAGAGTGAACCATCTTCATTAAATTTTTTATTTTAATACAAAACAACAGTCAAAGTAACGGATTTTTATTATTCGTCGTAACTTTGTAAAAAATAATAAGTTTCGATAGTATTATTATTAAATACAAGTATATATAAATCAATGATAACATTATACCCTTGATTAAAATATTGACTAGTACAACGGTTTAATAGAAATTGTGAGCTGTTATCCGAGCGAGTGGAGCTAATTAATAGTAAATATTATAACGCGCGTACAAACCGAAGATTTTTTTATGAATTTATACCATCGTATTCGCAGCTCCTGAATATGATAACGACTGCTCTATGAGTTTGTCCAAAATTAATTAATTGGCAAAGAAAGGTGGATATACACGACGATAGGTACTCGTAAAAAGTCCTTAGTTATAATACACATAATATATTATCACTTCTGTCTGCTATTGTCGTGAATACGATGTAGTATGACTACTGCACTATATTCACTATATTATATTATAATATATACGCATTATACACGGACATCGCGTAGTAAACCATTGAAAACATATTATATACGTTTAATATTATTGTAGTACTGTACCCACATAATATAATTATAATAAAATAGTAAATTTATTTCTGCAACAACGTGATAATCCTTCAGTCTTTTATGTATTTATTTTTGCTACGTTATTCGTATCTGATACCGTAACATCTAATATCACAACACAATAAACTTATATTTATTGATTTATTTTTTTAATCTGAAACAACTGTCTTAACATTTTCTTGCAGCATCAAAAAAATCAATAATCAAATTAGTTACAAGTTAAAATTGAACATTTCTCCGTCTTTTCTCGTGGTACACATCGTAGTCTAGCTTTATAGCATTTATAATTTATTATACACTTTAAGTAAAAATACTTTCCAAGGTAAAGGCTGAATGGTTATTATTTTATATTATTTTATTAGAAATTATAATAATCCGAGAAGTTAACCAACGTAGGGCAAAGTCAACACGATAGCTGGGTTTGATATTATTTTAGTACTTTTAATTTTTCAGTGATTTTATTTAGTAAAATAATCTTGGTAGATTTAATAAGAATGCCTATGAAAATAGTTGTAAACTGCAAAGGATATCACTTCTTGTCCATATATCGAACCCAATCTTGAATCCATGTATTCACACGCACAAAACTATTTTGATCTAGTAATGTGGCATGTGAGTAAATATAAAGATTAAATACATAAATTAAGACTTTTGTTGTTGTTGTTGTATTTTAAAGTTTTTTTACTACGGCGGAAGTAAATTTTACTAAATATTGCATTTACAAACGTCTCCTATGTCATATTACTGCGGTCCGCAATAATAATTTGATATATATCACCGTTTGTTGGCCCCTTAGTATTATTTTATATTAAATCATTGTTGTGTTTGGCGCTTTCCGGTCCTGCGAAGAAAGATGGCGTGGGCACAAAGACGGAAGTGTTGTACCGATGCGCGTGCAAAGAGAAAGAAATGGTGTGCGGGTCGGACAATAGGACGTACTCGAACGTTTGTCAGCTGAACGAAGCGATCTCCAAGCTCGGTAACAACAGGACACTCATCTCCATACAATACTGGGGACCGTGTCAGTCGGGTAAATAGACGAAACATTATTTAATCTCAAAACGTATTCATACATTAATAATCTTTGTCCTTCTCCCTCATCGAGTAACAGTCATTGATCGCATTTATATTCATTTAAAAGTTAATACTTAACACTCCTTGTATATATCAAGTACGGGTGCACTAAAACCGATACTTACGTGTTACTCTCGTATTGCTTTTCAATTGAGTTTTACATCAAATATTCCTTTCTGATTTTTTTTTTTTTTAGTTTTTTAGTGAATAAAGGTATTTATACTTCCTCGGCTTAAATATTCGACTACTTTATTTTTATGATTTCCCTTTATAGAAATAAAACCAAACGGCGTCATGCGAAGAAACCGTTGAAAGAAAGTCTTAATATTTTTTATAATTTTTCTGTATAATTTCTGTAATAATATAAAATATGATAAGGGTTTTAAACGCCTTGTAGGTACCTATAGTACTATATACTTTATAATACTACAATGGTATATAACCATATGCTCGTGACATGTATACGTTTATTTTAAATAAATTAAATTACAAAACAATTAAAACCTGTCAGGTAGTGGTTGTTCCTCATAATGTTTAATATTATAATAAAATACTTTACTATTGAATTTTAGCCCCTGTAATCAAGTCGGCTCCGAAGAACTTTGCTGGCATTATTGGACAACCCGCCGTGTTCGATTGTGAAATCAATGGATACCCAGTGCCCAGCATTAATTGGCAGTTCACGGACATGCTCGGGATTACTAAATCGTTACCAGGTGCGTTATTATCGAAGGTTTAAGAGACGAATTAACAACGTACGTCTTTAATATTAACCTTAATATTGATAGTTAATGTATTTAGAAATTAGTAAATATATACAAGATAGTATTTATTATATATTTATATATTTATTGATTTATATCGATCAATATATAGATACACATTATTTTATAGAAAAATAACATGTTATGCATTTATTCTTACGTATGATTTTACGATTTATTTTCAAATCACATTTTCTTTTCGCACATATGACAAAGAAAATTATTCAGCAATAAAAGCAGACTTTATTTCGTTTTTTATTTTTAATGATTGGATGAAAATTAAAAAAATCACAATAAATAACGTCAGTTCTTCAAAGGAATTAGTATGAAAAAAGTTTCAATTCTTACCTTTTATTTATGAATAAATAAACAAAATATGTACCTTTAATTATTATGATTATAATTAATAAGGACTTAAATATTATCACGACATAGGTATATGTTGATGACAATGAACTACTAATCGATTGTTATTATATGATTACATTCAATGACAACCAAAAATAAGTTTGTAAATTATATAAGCATTGAAATAAAATCTTATTTTTTTCCACAATGTCATTAAGAATATGAAATAAATTTATATTAGAATTCAATTGGTAAATGTTCTTGAAATGAAAGTCGCAGGGTATTTTCTCTCTAAACTGGCCCACATAAAAATAAAACGACAGAAACTCGTAGAATAAGAATCGTTTCTAGAATATGATAATAAATAATAATAGTTATCGGTTTTCAGATGTAATATGGACGTGTTATCCACCCTAAATCTATCCACGTGTGAAGGATTCTTGTTTTTTGTATAGTGTATTCTGTAGAAAGAATTGAAATATTTATGTGAAACTACAATATAGTGCGCTACGACTATACTTATTGTGTTTGATTTATTATCTTTTTACTCGAAAATACACCGAATAGATGTAATAATAGTATTTTGTGAGGAAAAATTCGTTACAACATGAACGGACACGTCGAAAAGTCTAGCAGTGTATTTTTTTTCAAGATAATACACAAATATACAGAATTATTGGTACTTTTTTTCCCTTGTCTATGGCATTCATCTTATTGTACTACATCGTAAAATATCAGAAAAGAATAAATTTCACTCTGTAACATTAGAAACATTGAATACTACCGGGTTTTAATTCAATTCCATATTTACGCCGGACCGATCGAATTCAAACGATATTTAACTTTTAACGATTTCATACACACTAGTTATAACCAAATTAACTTCTAACCACATTAAAATTATGAGTTAAATGAAGAATATATAAATTGTACATTGATATTATTTTTTTCTTGTAATCAAACTTTAAATAAGAAAATTTCATAAAATTATCAAGTAGTATCTTATTAGATCGGTAATGGTAAATGGAACAGGGACCATATCTATATCAGCGGTTCCCAAACTGTTAGGCACACCTCACAATTTGGGGAAGCACAAGACAAATATTTTTATTATATTTTACACTAACATATATTTATATATAGGTAAACAATAATTTTCTTATATTTTAATAATAAAATATTTAGTTTTATTTATTCGTGGAGGGAGGTGCGATTAAATTTGTTAGGTTTTGGGGATGTGTGATCCATAAAAGTTTGGAAACCGCTATTCTACATGATAATTAAATAAATAATTGAACTAAAAAGTGATTTATCGAAAAAATTTCAAAATTGTTAACACTCTAGAGTATATCATGGGTTGATCAAAAGTGGATTCCGTACGATTAGAAATAACCGTATCAACGACTTAAATGTAAAACAACCGTGCCATCGTCGTCTAATCAGTGGCTTACGTGACTTAGTACATGCTTTCACAAATAACGATTATGAATAGTCTTATTTTTGTATAATTGCGTTCATTTAATTTCACTTGTCTTCGCCACAAATATTTATTTATAAATATTATTTATTAATAATTGACAGTAAGAACGACGATATTGATGTTGAACTACTAATCTCATTAGTAGAAACTAAACCTGTCTTATGGGTTGATTCCTTACAGTCACCTTGGGCCTATTGATTTATAAAAATTTAAATGGTATAAGAAAGGATCGAAAAGAAGTATGAATCGACTTAAAATCAGATTTATCAGATATAGTGTTTGATATCTCATAAATATAATGTAAAACAAACTATAACCATAAATTTATTATACATTGTAAAAATAATAGGAAAATGTTGTCCAATCAGTTATTGTTGTGTTAAGTCAGAAATTACAACAAAGTTCTCACGAATTAAAACAAAAATATATTCATATATTTATTAAGTTATTTTTTACTAAATAACAAGTTTAAGATCCAAAATTTTTATCCGTATATTTAATAAGTAAATAAGTAATACGATTAACTAGAACATATTCGACCTAATATGTACTTATACTATTGGCACGGAATTTGAATAATTACTGAATGTCTTCAGCCACATCAACATTCTATCCAAAAAATATTGTGAAACATTCAGTTTCAATCATACATTTATTAAATTTTCAATTCTTAAATACCATATGTGTTCATTGTTTATATTGTGTAGGTGACGATACGTTACTTGCAATACAAACTAGAGGAGGACCAGATCGCCATACAGTTTCTTCATGGGTACAAATAATGGAATTCAAACATATTCATTCAGGAAACTATACTTGTCTTGGTACAAATAAAGTGGACACGGTTGTGGCTTCAGCAGTATTGGACATCAGAAAAATGACTTAGAACATTTCATACAATACAACAATTGAATACTATACTCAAGATAAAGTGTATGTTTAGAATATAATTTTGTGTATTGTAATAAAATATTATACTTATATATATATATATATATATAATATTTAGTATCACTTTTAATTTTTACATGTAATTTTTCTTTTTCAATTTAAACCAAAAAATAATAAGTTTTTTCTACTTCATTATTGTATCGGTTCTTAAATAATTACACAAAATAATAATTAATTTTACATAATTCAATACATATTTATATATGTCTTTTTATTTACAAAATCAAAGTAAAGTTTTTGAAAAATATTTTATTTTGATTTAAGGCCAGTACATTATAATGCAAGAAATAAATAATTTTCATATAACAAATATAAAAATATTGTATAAGCATAGTTTAAGTCTAATTCCAGCGTACTGACCATGTAACTATTCATATCCTAAAGAATTACAACAAATATAATTTGCACAGCATAAAAAACAAAAGGTTAAATACTATTTTAAAGGTTCATCCTGTTCATCTTTCTCAGCTTCTTTTACCGCTTTCATCCCTTGTAAAAACAAACCACCCAGTATAGCAACAACAGTAAATCCTTGAGCTGCTATTCGTCCTCTCATCATTATTTGAGATTTCATTCTGTTACCTTCGTACATACTCTTTAGACCTACTCCCAAGAAACCCAAAGTAACCACAGCACCTAAAAATTATATATTTATATATATATTATAATTAAATACATAATATTAATTATTATTTAGTCTAAAATATCAAATGATAAAAAAACTTTCTTACACAATCAAAATAATAAATGTTGTTAGTTGATAATACAATTAATTTGATATACTTGTAGATTTATTTGTACTGTACATAAATGTTATTTTTCAAGGAAAACTATTAAAACCATCAATGACCAAAACATAATTTACAAAAGAAAAAAAATTGTTTAGATATTTTTAATAATAAATTTAACAGTGCGTATGTTATTTGGCAGGGGAGAAATGATCAATCAAGATTGAGAACAATTTTCCATTTAAATAAAAAATAATAGGTACATACAGTAAATATTATTATTGTTCCGTAATATCAAACTTGATTTTTTGTAGAATATTCCATCTAATCATTTTGAAATTTCTATAATGGCCTACATACATTAATAGTACCTGCTACAATTTATGTTTCGAAATCACCAAAAGTAATAATATTTATGCACAACCTAAACATAAAAGGGACGCAATATTAATCAGTAAAAAAACTTACCAATAGGAACTAAAGGGTTTTCTTTGAATTTCCTAATAAACTTGTTGCCAACGTCTTCTACTTGTGCTCTAGCAACATATTCCGGTGTTTTGCCTTTATCGATTTTAAATTTCAACCATTCTAGAGGAAGATTTTCGTTCTTCGAGGGGTCAGACATTTTTCAGTTTAAATTTGAACACAAAATATCACAAAACGAAAACAAAGTAACGAGTCAACAGTCGGCTCTGATCAAAGTCTAAATGCAGTGGATATCGTTTTTATCGTTCACTAAGCGGACTACTATAAAGAAATAGGAATCGAGATCGACAGCAACAACATGATGGAAAGAGAAGACCGAAGTAGGATGCGATCTACTCGGTGGAAAGCATAATCAGAGCTATTATTATAATTACAAAATGAGTGGGTATGGAGCACGGATAACAAGATGTTGTGTAATAGGTATACCTGAGTAAGTGATAATATAATTTCGTCCCGTGTTGATATGATTGTACGTCCAGAACCAGAACCGTGATAAAACTGGACCTGTTTCCGGTATACCAGTATATTGTGACCAAACCTCGGATCGGAACACGGTTTCTTGATACCAGTATTGTTGTGTGTGGCAGCCGCCAGATAACGGTATTATTGTCAGTCTGTTGTTTTCTTTTGTACCCGTGGTGGTAATTAAGACACATCGGAAAATGTGAACTTCTTCGACTCATGGTCACTATTCGTGTTATTTCTGCTTCATTTTGTTAGATTCCGATCAGCGCCCTTGTCCCTTTTCGGAGGGTGATGCTTATCGACCTCGTCGTTTGTCGTCGATGCCATTTTTAATGCGTTGCGTATGAAACCGATTCGAATATTGATTGTTATCGATTCGATGGTTGTTCTTAACATTTAACATATGTATGTATAAGTATATAGTAACATTTAACAACAATGCCGGACACGGACAAAAGTTTATTACCAAACAATCGCGCGGTCGTGGTAAGTCGTAATAGACAAATTACTAATTAAATAATCAATTTTTTCTGTGTATGCTACAAGTACTTCCTATTATTTTCCCACCTTTCATCCCTTTTAAAAATACACAAAAAGAATAATAAACTTCCCCATCAGTTTTTTTATCATCCCTCTTGGTCTGTAATGGAATTTAAAAAGATTATCGATTTTTATTTACTTTTGTATATCTCTTTATTACATTTAGGCACCTTTATTTTATTTGTTTTTTTCAAACGTAGCTGCAAGAGAGTATATCAACAGATAAATCTACACTATACAACTATAATGAATTTTAATGATTGCTTTTCCTATATTATGTATCATTTTTTGTCAGATATTGCAATTTTTTAGTAAATAAATGTATTTTCTTTAGTTTTAATTCTTGATTGTTTTAACTCTGACTTTAACTATTTGATGCCAAATCAAAAGAGAGAAACAGTTATTGAAATCCCTATAAAATCTCTTAAAGTGAGTAGTCACTAGAGATTAAAAACTGGCCACTATTGAGACTTAAGTATAATTATTTTTTTTATACCCGTTTTCTTCATTGTCTATGTGTTAAATAAGATTACGAATGCAATCCTATTAGTGAAATCAATCAATGCTTTAAAAGTAATACGTTTATTTTTTCAGGACTCTAAAAACAATATTATGAATTCTCTACAAGTGTCAAAAACTGAAAGTCATACTATTAAATCAAAAGCTGTTGTTAAGTATTCTTCTGTCCTACGACCTGCCAATTTCGCTCATCTTCAATGTAACACTGATCTGAATTTACCACCATCAAATTGGTTGAGCAGTGCAGCAGAATCTTATGGATTACAACACATGTCTTCTCATTCAGATGGGTTTTCTAGGTAAGATATTATAATGTATTGAAGTTTGTATACATAAGAACTATTTATGTATATATACATGTCATTTTTATATTAATAACATTTTAAATAAATGCTTATCTTTATTTATTTCTAGTTTTCAAATGGCTCATATGTTTCCTGATTGCATTGGTGAAGTGGATGTAGTATCAGATGCTGAAAACATTAAACGCCTATTGAAAATACCTTACAGCAACAGATCTGTAATTTAATTTCTATTTTATATATATAATAATAATATATCTTAGTATTTTAGAAATCTTTAAATAAGTATAATAGTATCATCATTTCTAAGTTATTTTATAGATTAATATAATTACAGATTATTGATAAAATTTACTAACATTTTTAAAACAAACAGTGTATTATAAAATTATATTTGTAATTTCTTCATCATATTTTTTGACTAGTTTAGTCAGGGGTCTTCAAACTGGTATGCGAATAAGTTTTAACAGGCCTCTCGTAAGATGGTAAATTATTGAAAATATGCGTTATGTCTAATGTTGTTGTCGCATCCATTTATCAATTATCACCTGTATCATAATTTACTAATTTAACAATTACATTTAAGCACAGTATTGAGATTAGTCACATAATTAAAAATAATTTCTGAAATTAAATCCAATAAATCAAAAATAAATTTCCCCTGCCTAACATATATTTGTAATCAATTTTGAAAAATTAAAACTAATAACATACAACCTAAAAAAATATTTAGAAGTATCAATTTCAATAAAATTAAAAATAATATATTTTTATTCTTTTGGTCTGCTAAAAACTTTTGGAGATCCCCGAGTAAAGTCATAAAAGTTTAACTTAAATACTGTTAAAAAGAAATTCAAAGAAGTCAAACGTTTATTTTACTTATGTAAATTTGACTTATATTAAATGTAATATTTATGATAGATCTATAAAATGTTTATTTAAAATATAAATATCATCTATCTAAGTTAATATTTAATGTAAATTCTGTAAATTTGTTTGTTGAACTGTAGTGCAGAAAATAATACAATGCATAGAAAAAAAAAATATAAACTTAAAGCAATACATAATATGTATAGTAACATGGTTATAGTGTGAATAGTTCATTACAGTTTGAATATTATTCAGATATATGTAAACAGTTTTAGTTAAAATGTAAATTCAATTATTTTAATTTAATTTTAGGTTAGCATGATGGTTCACAGAATTGAAAATACATTACTTATAGATGAATTTGATGTTCACAAACACTTGATGGTTCAAACAGAAGATGATTGGGAATGGTTAAGAAAATTTTTCTACAATCACATTTTAGAATCTTTTGATAGAAAGGTTAGTAATAGTATCTTCTTGTACTGTTTATTTTACTGGAATTATTCAATATTTTTTTTATTTTTTTTTTATGTATACATTTTTATATTTTTACTTATATCTATTGAATGTCTTACTCTTTTAATTTTTTAATTATTGAGTTAAATTATATGTATTTGTATTTATGATTAAAGGAAAAATGTATCACTCACAAAGTGAATACTTTTGATGTAATTCAACAGAGAAATCTGAATTCAAAGTTTTTGCATTATAGCATTGCTGATTCAACAAATTCTAGTAATAACAACCAATTGCCAAATACAATTTTACCTAGTCCACCTTCTTCAGTACGTAATTTTATTATATTTTTTCTTGCAATTTCAAATATTTCTAAAAATTATTGATCATTGTGTTGTTTTAGTTTTATGTTTATATTAAATACATTTGTAAATTGTTTACAGTCAGCTCCTCCTTTACCAGAACCTTCACCTGAAGAAGAATTTCCCGATGATCCTAAAACCCATAGAATGTTTAACCAAAATGTTTTATGGAATTTTGAAGATTTAAGAATGTTACTTGGTACAGATTTGCCAATTTTTGGAGGTGGCACCTATCCTTGCCTAAGTTTAAGATTAAGGTATAATATATATTACTAACTAAAGTATATTTTTGATTTTATTGAAATAATACTAAATATTAACACAGAATAATAACAGATTAAATAAAATTATTGTTGTCTTGTTTAATTTAGAGATATGTCAAAACCTATTAGTGTGTTAACTGGGATCGATTACTGGTTAGATAATTTAATGTGTAATGTTCCTGAAGTTGTTATGTGTTATCATTTAAATGGTATTGTTCAAAAATATGAGCTTGTAAAAACTGAAGATTTACCATATTTGAATGATTCAAAATTTTCACCCAAAGTTATAAGAGATGTTGCACAAAATATATTGTCATTTTTGAAATCAAATACTACTAAAGCTGGACATACTTATTGGTTATTTAAAGGTATAAATTAATAATGAGTAATAAAAATAAAATAATATAAAATAATTGACTGCGAATTCTGCGTATTAAATTACAGGAAAAAATGATGATATCGTAAAGTTGTATGATTTGACATCTTTATGTTCTGAATCATTAGTTGAAGGACGTTGCGAAGGTCAAAATCCATTTACTGTTCCAGTGGCTATGCTTTTATATCGTGTTGCTCGCAATTTAAAACATAACCCAGATGATGGAAGACCATCTAGTCCAGTTACTATCCAAATGTTACTAAACAATTGTTTAAAATTATTAGACAAAACTAAGTATCCTCAAGTAAATAATCATTAATTCCTAATATTGATGTTAGATATTATATTGAAGTTCTTTTGCAACTTTTAGATTGTTACATCTGTGAACTACATGTTATCTGATCTCTACATTCCGGTTAGTACCAATCCTACATCACCAAAATTAGATGATTTAACTAATGTGGGTGAAGATTCACTCACTTCTTGCGTTGATCCCAATGACGAATCATATGGTTGTGATGATGACAAGAAGCCTACCTATTCTGTTGACGTACATGACCTATGTTTATCACACAAGAAGAAAAATAAATCCAAAAGTAATCCTTTGATTGTAATATGATTATCAGATTGGACAGTAATTTTTATATATTTATTTTGTCAGAACCAAAGTTTGCTTCAACAGAACCTGTAGTGAAAACATTAGAAGAACGTTGCCAAAAAGCATTATATCATGTGGGTTGTGGTTTAAGCTGTTTACAATATTTTAAGAACCTTAATCCACAGTTTATGGATGAAAAAAATATGGTTTGTAGTTGTATTAAATAGATAATCAATTTATTTTATACAAAATTATTTTATATTTAGAAAGAGATGGAAGATGAACCCAAAATGGCAACATCATCTGAGGCTATACCTATGCCATATCTTGTGCCTGAAATTGATAAAAAAGTCATAAAGGATGAAAAGGTTTTAAATAAAAGTAATAAAAATAAAAATCGTAAACGTAATAAAGGGAATATAGTTACTGAAAATGATGACACCACAAATGTGTAAGTTGTGATTAAAAATCATATATAATATGATCAATTAGATTAGACAAATATTACAAATTTCAATGTATTTTGTATTTTTATTAATTTTAGTCCTAGTACATTACTTTGTAAATCCATTGCTGAAACTATGCCAACTTGGCATAATCCACCCGATGCCAAAGATAGTGTTTCATGGAAAAAACACCTTAGAGTATTACTTTATGAAAAAGCATGTTTATCATATGCTGTATTAGCTGAACATGAGTTTATATGTGCAAAGTAATATATATGATATATATTTGAAATAATTGAATGATAAACATGTATTTCTTTATTTTTTAGGTATGGAAGAGCTTTAAAGCATTTTCGTTCTGTGTTTGAATGCCGATTGTGCATTAGCAACACAAACACTAACGATTTATTTGGGTTTTTATTAGGGCGTTGTGGAGATTGCTGTTTGTTGATTGCCCAAAACTGGGATAATGCTCAACAGTTTACAAATGAGTTAGAGACTGATGAAAAGTATGATTTAGAAATAAGAGAAGCATTAAAAGATGAATGTGATGATTATACGCAAGAAGGTAATGCTACCAAAGCAAATTTTCATAAAGTGTTATATAAAATGTATTCATTTATTTGATGTATTAAACAATGTTCTAGACTTCAATTTGATACCAATTAAATTTGAATCAAAAGAAGAGATGTTGAACGTTGCAGTTAACTGTTACATACGTTCTTTAGAATTAGAAAAAAATGATAAACATAAAAATAATTTAAATAGAAGAATTGGAAATGTTTACAATGAAATCACTTCAGGGTATATTTGTGAAATTGCAAGTAAGTTGATTTTATATTGTAATTAATATAATTGTTTGTAATACCTAATTAATAATAAAAAGATATTAATGTATATAATATTTCACAGGAAGGTAGGTTATAATATGACATTACTCATTATTAAATTTAAGTTAAAACTTAATATATTAGATAGAAATATTTCCATTATCATTTTTATTTATTTATTTATTTTTTTTTTTTTTGTTAGCTGCTTTAAAAGATAAAGTTGAATTAAGTCCTTCTAGATTGCAATGGTTACTAAAACAATCTCAATATTATTTATCAATGGGAATTGATAAATTTGAAAGTACTGATGATTTAATTAACCTTGCGCTGTTGTATTCAAACATGGGCCGATTGTACAGACATGTATCATATTATTCATCACAATATTTGGTTTCCTATGGTGAATTTTTAAAAGATAAAGATTTTATTAATAAGGTTTGTTTATACTTGTAAATTAAATATTTTGGTTGATATATTATATTATTAATTATATATGTTACAGTTAAAGTATTTAATTTCATTGTTAAATGAAATAACTAGGTAGTACATGAATTACTTACGAATATTAAAGTTTGAAATCATATATGAAAATGATACTTTAACTAGTTATTTCATAGAAAATCTAGTTATTCTATACAATTTTAGTTTGATATATGTTAAAGTATAAAATACATAAAAATTTAAAATATATTTTAACATTTTATTTATATTAAGTTTAATTAATTATTTATTTGTACTTGCAAGGCTATTGTAGAGATAGATGAACCAACACTGAACGCATGTGACTATAAGACTATTACTAAACTTTAAACCTTACCAATGTTATTGACAATATTAATAATAATACAACTCCATTAATAGTTTTATCTCCCTGATAAATGTACATGAACACTGCAGTCACTGACAACAAGAACGGCAGTCTTATCCAATTTATTGCTATGATGGGTTGTAAAATAACGATATTGTACATGCATGAATATATCAATTTGACACATTAACAAAGAGATGCTAGGGAATGTATAAAATAACTAGTTAAAGTATAAATTATATTCATTACCTACACGTTTTAGTTATTTTATAAATTATCTAGTTATTTCATAAACTAACTGATTCAATACTTTAACTGTAACATATATATATATCTTGTCTTCTTCTTCTCTTTTGCCTTTCTCCCGACTATTTGGGGTCGGCCACCCTTGTCTCCACTTGCATTTTTTTTTTTTTATATCTTTTAAGCATACACCAACAGCCTTCATATCATTCTCAATAGTATCCAACCATTTTTTTTTTTTGGTCTTCTTCTTTTCCCTTTAATGTTAATTTTCATAACCACTCTTACTGCTTTTGTTTCCTCTCATTTCATCTCATACCCAAACTATCTTAGTCTACTTTCTCTTATCATATCCACTATCAACGCTACACCAATATTACCTCTCACATATTCGTTCCTTATTCTATATTCTCTTGTCACTCCACTCATCCATCTAAGTATTCACATTACCGAAACACCCATATTCTGTTTTATTTTCCTGTCAACCACCAAACACTAAAAAAAACCATATAGCATAATTAGTCTCACTACATTTCTGTAAAATTTACCTTTCAGCCTCATTGAAATTCTCTCATCCATAAAACGCCGGACACTTTTCTCCATTTTATCTAACCACACTTAATCCTATGTTTTACATCCATGCCAAAGCCCCTATTCTTTTGTACAAATTATCCTTAATATTTAAAGTTCTCTACTTTATCAGTCACATCACCGGTTATTGTCATTGATCTCCCCATATCTTCAACTTAGTATATTCCTTCCAAGTCATACTATATATACTGTGTTTTATTTCTACTAATTCTCAATCCCTTTCCTTCAAGGACTAACATCTACTCATCCAACCTATTATTAACTTCTTCCAGATTTTCTCTTACCAAAACTATATCATCAATGAACATTATACACCACATTATTTGTTTTAAAATGGTATCTTGTTCTGTATGTCTTGTGTAACTTCATCCATTACCACACTGAACAAATAAAAGCTTAAAGCTGACCCCTGTTGCACACCAATTCAAGCCTTCATACATATCCTGAATCAAATATATATACTCTTTACCCCACTAATGCCTACTTTACAAATTTTCTTGGCACTTTTTCTTACACCTTTTCTGAATCTACAAAAAACATGCATAATTTTTTCTCCTTTTACCTAAACTTCTCTATTAGTTGTCTAATTATATATATATATATATATAAATTTTTTAAAAAAAATTAGGCTATTGAAAGCTATACAAAAGGTTTGGCAGTTTTGGGCAGTCGTCGTTTTAATACTCAACTGTGGGACATGATTAGTTGGGATTTATCCACAACTATTTACAATTTTGCTATACAATCTCAAAATGATCCATCTGAATTTAATGTGAGTATAGAATACATTTAATTTTAAATATTTTTCTCAATAAAATAATGTCACATTTAGGATAGAGCTGAAGCTGAAAAAGAAGTTATCACTTTACTCCTAAAAGCTTTGAAATATTGTGATTTAGAAAATGATTCTTCTAGAAAATTGTTGTACGAATTTAGAGCAGCATATATTCACGATCGATTAGCATCTTTGTATCATCATCGTTTAAGGTAAAGACTGAATATTGCTTAGGGTAACAAGTGTATTTGTTTATACTCATTAAAGTATTTATCTTTAATATATATCTGTACTTGATTTTACTGCTATATAATTTATTGGTGTAATATTTTTATATTTGTTGATTATTGAATTCTTAGGTAAAACTAATAAATATTTATTTGGCAGGTGTTTGGAAGTTGACATCCCAAAGTTTAAAACTACTCTTCACCAATGCTTGTCTCACTATAATCGTGCTTTTGAAATGTTCTTAAAATTAGATCGTCCATTAGAGTGTCTTGAAATACTTATCAAAATCATTGCTCTAGATGAGCTTCAAATTGATAGTAAGTAAATAATTTGATTTTACAGTAATTTTAAGCCAGTTTCAATTGCTTAAATTTTCACGTAGGTGCAACAAATTGTCAGTCTAAAGTAAAATTTGTCATGTCCATTACACAAACTTTGGGGAAATGCAGTGATGTCTTAAAGATGTTGATGGAAAACAATTTTGAAGAAACTAAAGATAAAAGTTCACTAGATAATGAATGTCTTGACAAAACCGAGCGGAGTGGTGAAGAAGACGAGGACAGCATAAAGAAGAAAAAAAAGTTGTTAGCCCTGTTAGAAGAAAGATTACAATTTATTCTGAAATGCATGATTAAACTGGCTTTGGCAAAAACATCCAAGTGAGTGTTCATTATTTATTAATAAATTCTGGTTTATGACAATATTATCTAAAGAAAAACTTTTTATGCGACCTTAGACTAAAGTCATATACAATATACAATAAAAATATAAGACATCAGTTTTTAATATACTTATGTTTGTGATAGGTTAGCCAACAAAACCAATGAGTTGAAAACAATTTATGGTGAGTTATTGAGAAGATGCAATGATGGTGCTGATGACTATTCTCATTTACTTAGAGTAGTAACTAAGATAGCTGAATTACATTTTTAAGTTTAATTTTCTATCTACGTTTTATTACAAAATAGTTGTGATATTATATTTAATTTCCATTTATTAATGTACATTATTATGCAACAATAAAATTTGATATAATTTACTATTTTTATATTTACAATATTAGATTAGTTTCAATTTTTTTATAGTACAACTAAAAAATAATATAAAGAGATATACAGTTATGAATTGTACTCCAAGTGATGCCAATTTTATCAACAGAGTATGTTTATTAATGTCAATATCTAAGATGAAGAATACACCAAAAATGTTTTGCCTTAATTTTATTGGTTTGCAATTATTAGTCTTATAAGGTGTACGATTAACATAGCTTAGAAAAAAAAACACAAATGTACAGCAGTAGATTAATACATTATAATATATTGTTATATATCAATAATTCGTTAAGGCTTAATATTAAGTGGCTTGCATTATAGTATTGTTCCAAATGTGTACAGATGTAAAAACAATTGGAAACAAAGTTAAATAGTATGTAGTCTATGTCAAAAAATAACTCATGAGATTACTTTTAAAAGAAAAGCATTGATGATCTGTTGAGTACTTAAAAATGTTGTACTGTTATTGAATAAGTGCGAACATAACACATTGTTGAAAAATACAAATAAATATTAATATTAAACAGATGGTTCGTAATAGCACCGATACAAAATAAATAAAAATATATACATAATTGCAGCTAGAATGAACACTTATAGCGTGTACGATTGATTTATTTCTTATGACAACTAAACAGAAGCCAATAAGAGGATTGCAAATTGGACAACAAAACAAAATATTTCGAGTATAAAAAAAAAAAAAAACTGAAAAAAAAAATTTAATATCTGAAAACAAAATCATAAAAATTAATAATAAAACGAGAATTCGATATTTCTCGGAATCGAGAATATTTTGAAACTTTTCAATTGAACAATATTTTTAACATTATTGGTAGGAACATGGTTGTATATATTTTTTTTTAAACATTTTCTTTTTTTCTTTTTTTTTCGTTCACTCTACGATACAATGTGAACTGACGGAATACAAAAAAAAAAAAATTCAAAAAAAAAATACGACCAACAGAAATCAACAGTAACAATAACAATAAAAAAAATAATAATAATAATAACGAACGACCGTTCGGCGCTATTCATCGTCGTGGGCCGGCGAAAGAGGTTCGATTTTCAGCTGCGTAGTGGTCGTGGAGGACATCAACAGCGCCGGGTTGGCGACGGCGATAATGTTGCCGCCGCTCGACGATATTATCTGGAACGACACCAACGAAAAAGTGTTTTTCATTCCGCGTAACGCTCTGTTGCGCTCAAGATTCTGCGTACGCGCCGTTTCAGAGATGGGGAGAGGGGAGGAGTTTTGCGATTTTCTTAGCGCAACACGATTACGTGTTACTACACGTGCCGGGGCTTATTATTTAGGATTTTTACCTATCGCTCAAACGCACTGAAAAGTTTGTTTTATGAAATCTATTCGGATTATAATACTGCTTATCCCCTCCCCAACAAAAATTGTGTATTGGTGTATTAGAATTTTGATTATCGCGCGGTAAAATATTAAACAAAAAACCGATCTTTTCCGTCGTACGTATACCACTAAATTTCATAGATTAATCAATCGTCTGAGTAGCAAAGATTAGTAAACTCACATTATTATTACTTAATAATAGGGCCCAGATTTAAATGCACTGAAAATCATATAAATATGCTCTAAAAAATAGCCAAAAATGTCCTTAAAAAAATGCATTTTACCGCAAAAATGAACTTAAAAATTAAAAAAATGACATATTTTTTTTTTATTTTGAGCATTATTTAACACACTATTCAATACATTATTAAAATCACATTCACACGTAATACGAGTAACGTCTGCGAGGTAATACGAACTATAACTGATTATTTAACGCGCAGTCTTTAATTTTGAGTTCAGAGATTAAGGCAACTGTGGCATCCATAGAAGCCACCAGTAATAAAGTCTGTATGCGCAGGATTTTTTATGGTATTAAGGGTATTACGTAGCTGTGGCATATACAGTAGTCACTTAATTATCAGTGAAAAAACGCGGTAAAATGATTAATAATTTGATTATTACTATCAATATCGTTACAATGACTTTGGAATAAGTGTTTATGAACATGTGTTATTTGTAAAACGTGATAGCAGTATAAAATCACATTTTTATCAAAAGTGGCATGAATATGTGCCATTGTTTGATAAAACGACCAACAGATAAGAATAGTTAATTTTTTAAAATTGACGAAATATTAGCTAAAACATTAACTAAGTAAGTACGTTATTGAAATTCTTATACAATTTTACATATGTTTTGTATCGATTTTAACGAATTTAGTTATTTTAACATGAGTTTTTAACACAATAACTGAGTAAGCATTAGTTTTTTAAAAAAATTATTTTTTTAAAATATTTTATTTTTATGTTTTTTAATGAAGTATATTTAACAAATGATACATTGATATACCCACTATGTTCTGTAGTTTTAAATGATATATTATTTGTCGTTGTCAGCATAAGCCCAAAGATAATATTTGATAATAATGAAATTAAAACTGACCATACATAATATACTATTTTATCTATTATATTATTGTAACTTATATTTATTTCTAAAAACTCAATGTTTGTTATAGTTCCAAAAAATGTCCGAGCTATCAGATGATAACATTCTAGAATTACTCAATGGTATTTCAGACAGGCAGGTTATTGATTCTGATTTTGGGGGAGACAGTGATGCTAAAGATGCACCATGTTTCGAGAGGAAATCAATAGGTCAAAAAAGTAGAATCAAAATGAATAAATTTATACATAGTCAGACTTTGTATTATACCTCATCCCCCCTACATTCAAATATTTCATGTAATGAATCTAGTATATCAAACAGTTCTTTAAATATATCTAAGTTCTATCATTCATGATGATATTATTTTATTCTAAGTCGAAGAAAAATCATGACCCTTTATAGTTTGGTGGCATACATTAAAGCCACCATTTACAGGCCTAGATGTTGATACTATGTTGATGGTTATATAAACAAAAATGTTATTAATAAGTAGAAGAATAATATTCGACTACTAAACTTGATATATTCAGATAAAAATAGCTCTGCCCATCTACCGTAATTTCATAAGTGGCTTCTATAAATGCCACAGTTGTAATAATGTTCAATTCATTAATATTGTTCTGCTCATCTACCGTACTAATATAAGTGGCTTCTATACTCACGACTAACACTTAAAGGGTTAACCAAATACTGGTGACGTTCCATAGTCCAGCGTTTCGTAAAGTGTGTTCCGCGAAACCTTAGGGTTCCGTGGGACAATGCTAAGGGTTCCACTAAATGTATGTGATTATTCAAAAACTTATTTTATACTATATTTAGAAAAAATATTATTTCATATTATTTAAAAAAATTATGTTTTAAGCTAATTCAATAAAAAGTAATCATTAACAATATTAATAGTATCATTAAACACATTTTTTAGAGTATTAGTTTTTTATTTTTTTGTTTTTTAAAAAAATTAAGAGTTGAATTGGAATTAAAGACATTAGGGTTCCACGAAACACAAACTGTTTTTTAAGGGTTCCGTGATTGTAAAAGTTTAGGAACCGCTGCCATAATCAATAATAAATTAAGGTAAAATAAAAATTGAATCGAAAAATAAAGTTTGACAATGTATATGGAAAAACCCGATAAACCTACTTAAATATCAAGAAAATATAATTTGTCTTTTGATTTGATTTTGAATAGGCTTAATTTGTTTAGTACATCGAACATATATGCATTAAAAACTAACAAAATGACCCAATAATACTAAAAATGCTCTAAAAATGAAAAAACGTCAAAATATGTGAAAAAATGAAAAATAAAATCTGTAGTTTTGAAACCCTCGTTAAACGAAACGAATTATGTTCTTAGAGAGCATTGTGTACGATTAACCAAAAAAATATGCAATTTGCATTGAAATCCGGGCCCTACTTATTAGGTAATAGGTAGGGTTTATAAATTACACAAATTTCAAATACCCCGTAGAAAATGCAATCATTCCACAAGACATATGATATTTTTTGCAATGTGCCCATACTCAAGTCAAAGTCAACTGGCCTTTTGATTTTTCCTGCTACCCGATTCGGGTCGTACCGCCCGTTGGGAATGACACTCCGATTTGTACTCACCTGAACTTTGTCGTGGAAAAACCGGTCGACCGGCCGATGATGGTCGCCGTTGACCGTGCACGACGAACGGCTGCTCCGGCGGCTTCGGGGCGTCGCGTCACGTTCGTACTCGTCCGTGTCGTCCGTGTCGTCCGTGTCGCCGCGCGACCGGTTACTCTGAAAGCAAACGCGGCATGGGGCCGTGACCATGAACGGGAAACGTAACGAGAAAGCTCCGCGGTCATCCGTCGACCGATCGGTGCTCGGGTGGGGCGCGCGCCGAACAGCACCGGCGCAAGGTTTTCCGGGGCGGATTTCTGTTCGCGAGGCCGAAAACGTTTTTCCTCGGACGCCCCAGCACTACTCGTGTGACGTACGTTTTCCCGTTTCACAAAAACTATGCGCGAAAAGCATTTTCCCTCGGTCCGGGTTGTTGTACTACTACTCGTATGTTTTACCGTTATTGTTGTTATCGTACTTTGTACTACCGTGCAGGCGAAAGAGGGACAAGGAATTTCACACGCCCGGGTAAAACTCGCGCCCTGTCGTTGACCAAAAGTCGAGTACCCTTCCCTACGGTTTTTTTTTCTCGGACGATCAGCGTACAATCGTGCTCATCGAGTTTAAATCAAGTCAAAAAACTGGTTGTCAATAAAAGACTGTGCTCTACAAAAATTACACCCTCTAAAGTTTCGCACCCCGGGGCAAATCCTCGTGTTCTTCCCCAAAGTTCCGCCCCTGGACGTGTAGGTACCCGCTGCCGAACACGATATCAAAATTGAAGACATTAAAACACCAAACGCGTTTTCAGGCGACAAGTGGCGTTTGTTACTCGATTTTCATAAACAGAATCGTTGAGTCCCGCGAAAGGCCCCGGACAGCAGCCCCTTCTGCCCTCGCGCCGGCGGTGGCGTTGGACACACCGCCGTGGTCACGCGACAACGCCCCGCAGGCCACGACGACGTGCGAGCGGCGGTGTTAGCAATTACGGAACTCGCGTGGTGGTTGCACGCGCGTTATATGCCGACAGGTGGTTGTCGTCCGAGATCATTTCGTTATCCAAACGTTGCGCGTGGCCGAGAGACTATTGTACAATCATATTATATATAAAATCCACACCGTAACACACCGTTAACGATCAGTGGCGTGGCGAACTCAAAAATTTTCAGAGGTAAGTATATTTTTTCGATACCCACCCACCACCCAAAAAACTGCGAGGTGGCCACCTCTCGATTACCCACATCGCTACGCCACTGGTAACGGTAATGTGTGCATCACAAGTGCGGAACGTGTTCACGATGTCGTGCGCGCATACATACCTGTGGTTCGGGTAAACGGAAACAAAACAAAAGCAAAACAAGCTAAAACAAACATAAACTGAAAAGTTGTTGGTTAGTAAAAAAGACGGCGTGGATAAAAGAAAATAAAAAAATAAATAAATATAAATCATAATCGTACGCGTAAACGCACGTGGCGCGCAGAGCCTTTGAAATCGTAATCGTGACGCGGACGAACGTACATGTCCGGAGTTTGTGTACGCAGTAAAAATCGTTTCGGTCGCACACGAGTGCCGTGACTAGACGTTGGCTAAACGGGCGTTTGCCAAGGGCGCAGCAGGATGAAGCCGGATTTACATTGGTAGAGTATTTGGTACGGTACGACGGAACAGTTAGTACCCTACCGTTACCAGTACAATTTAAACGCTCCGGGATAGTATAGGTAGAGTACTAAAAATATAAATCGGTTGAGTAATTTACCGCTGTGGTAGAGTACACTCCGCTTGCTTTTACCTCCGCCACCGTTTTAACAGTACACAACTGGTGTAAACAGGTTTATTTTGGTATAGTAAAGTAAAACGTTGTTGATGCGCGAACCGAGCACGTGTCTTCATCCTTCATTCTCTCTTCTACCGAATCATTAGCTTCGTGTAAACTGTTACTCTACTAAGACTAGAAGAGTTAGTAAGAAAAATAGTAGGCTAGTGTACTGCACCAAATACTCTACCAATGTAAACCATTAAGGTTCACATTAGGCTTGAGGGGGCGCATTTGGGTTCGTTTGAAATGCTAAAATAAAGTTTTATTTATTTAATTATGTATTTACTATTGCATATACGTGAAAGAGTAAAATAATAAAATTTTTATTTACCAGTACGTATCTAAATATGTATACTTTTTCATAACCCACCCTTACCGTTAACGTGAGCTAGATCCATATCTGGGGCCACTAGGGGGTCAACGCGGTCATCTCGTACGTCACGCGGTCGTTATGTTCATCTTATCGGCCGAACGACTCGTCCCCGCAAGATTTTTTAGTCATTTAATAACACCTGTCGAACTTACGGTTATCCCCGCTCTACTTGCCGCACAAGCGTGTAGATTTTATAATACTCGCTATTGTTTCGATTTCGAATTATTATACTACTGATTACCGAACGGACGTGACGTTCAAAGGCGTGCGCAAGGTCCATGTATCGTCGCGTTCGATAAACGGTTCCGAGCCAACAGCCGTCGCGGCGGTGTTAAACGTTTCTACAATCGTGAATGATTCGCGAGAACAATAACACCTTATAAAATCAACTGTTTTGGCGATTTTTTTCTCTTTTTTTCTAAACGTTACGAATTTTTTTTTTCCTTTCTGCATAACACGGTTCGTCGTCTATTGTGTACATTGAATAAATATCGACAGGCCATACAACACACAATTACTTTTTATTCCGTTTAAAGAAATAATAATAGTAAATAAGAATAATATGTGAACGGTTGCTGGACGAAGCAATATTTCCGAGTTTTTTATTCAACTTCACTCGTGCGATCTCGGGAAAACCGTACCGGGGAAATTGAAAAACGAACCCTCCAAAGTACCATACCTCATGGTATCTGCGTACTACTTCGGAACGGAAAAGTTATCGCGCGAAATTATTGATGCGGAGTAGGCGTAGTTCGGTAAAAAATGTTTACGGAACGATAAAAAAAAGAAAAAGAAAAACAACATCGTTGTAAGACCCGGCCGATAATTTACATAATGTACTTTTCGCTTCGCTCACGCAATCCATAACAATAAACTCATCCGGTTTCGAGAGTTCGTATAACGTTTTTATACTTACGTCAATTTTTGCTGCAATTTAAACAGTTCGTATTTAAGATGTCGCGAACGATTTGAAAGGCTCTGCGTACTTAAATACGTTCAAACATGCTTGTTAATTAACAATCGTAACGCTAACTGCAAACCTAATGAATATTTACATACATATATACATAATAAAAATGATATGAAAAAAAAATAATAATTAATAAAAAAAAATAATAAACGATTTCATGAATACGCTACGAAAAAAAAAATTATAATACAATTATAATATATATACACGCAATAGTTTCTGTGCAAGTTGGATGATTTATAATTTTAATTCGTAATCATTACATCGAAATGAATCACGGTTAGCATTTTTATCATTACCCATATTAAGCTGTTATTGTTTTCGGATCCAGTATTATCGATTAAGATTATTAAGATTATTATTTTTTTACTCGTTGTATTAAACGAATAATAGCGTCAGTTATTAATAATAAATACTCGTTTAAAATAGGTTCCTGTTATAATTTTTTTTTCGCATTTTAGTTGCAACAAAAGTGTACCCCGTGTTCCTGTTATTGTAAACAGATGGACGTATATAAAACTTTTAGAAACGTTTAATTAAAATTTTTACCGAGAACCGTCGTACTTTCTTTTGTCGGATTAATAAAATACGATTCCAAGTAAACTGCCGTGTTTATATAAAAATGATGAAACATTTGTGATTTTTTATTCTGTTAAAAAAACAAAAAAAAATAACGTTTCGTAATAATTAATATTCGAAACGTTATGCATATAATGTTGGTCGAAGATATTTAAAAAAAAAGAAAAATAAGTAAATATATATAAATTTTTTTTAAGCTATAAGATTTTTTTTATCTCCTATAGGTCGTAATAACCGTACCGAAAATGTGTTTTTATTTTATTTTTCTCCCATTAAGCGTGTATAGGTTCTATAATCGTAGTCGATACACGTAACGTTTTTTTAAATTATCAATTTTTTTCTTCGACAAACCTCGAGAATAAACAAAATGGTTAAAAGTGTTTATATGCCATGATATAAGTCTAACATTATTGATTGTTTATCTCGATTGCTTGCACAGAATGCATTCGTTTCGAGGTTTTTAGAAGAAATATGATTGGAATGCGTATCGAAGTGGCCGGTTTAGCGTTAGTGTTTTTTTTTAGTTTTTATTAGTAACCCACACGCGTCAAGCGCGTCTCATTCGAAACAATATTGCTCACGACTTTTGACCCGATTTATGTTATACTATAAAGAAAGCCGTGTTAGTTTTCGGTATGAAAAGCGGACCTTAGCCGCAAGCGTTACTCGTACACACGTCATCACCACCGTGTTCACATATTTTTACCTGATTACCGGTATTCAGTGATGATTTTCCGTCGTGGTGGTAGTCGACGCTACGAGTCATCGAATCCCTCGAGTCGCTAATGTCCTGAAATATGTAAGCAGTGCCAAGCGTTCAGTTTCACATATAATAATGAATTATTATTATTAGTTTTTCATTTTTTCGAAAATACATTAGATCCCATTGAACAGGTGTATGATACATTTTGTTCGACTTAACGAGTATATGCGACTGCGGGCCAAAGTCGAACGACCATAGGCGCACGTGGGTGGGGTGCTTGGGGCTTAGGTTTCAAATAAGCACTTCCAGAGTCCCCGAATAATTTAATTATGAAATTATAAATTTAAACATAGTTGTAGCATAACATGATTTCAACGACCCATAACTATGAACAACTAATATGCAAACGGCTGAGGTGGAAAAACATCATATTTGCACGGTAAATGGACAGGCTATACTGCTATAATACGAGTTACAACGATATCGGTGAGTTTCTATTGCCGAACGCGTTACTACTTGTTTGTTGTAACATTACATATTATAATAGTATATTGCTCTTTATTGGTTATTCGGCGAATCAATCGTAACAATGAACTTATTTCGTGCGACGTCAAACGCTGCTCTGTAACATACTGCGTACAGGCTGACATGAACTTAAAGTGCACAACGAACCACAGTCCAGGATAATTGGTCTTATGAGATAACTTATGCGTGCCAAAATGACGTTAAAGTCGCCTTCGATCTCGATGGACCGGTATATGCTCATTTGAAACAATCTCCTGGAGATATAAGTCTAAAAACCATGTACCAACCTGCATGGGAGAACTAGTGTTGCTGTATGACATTTGCGAGTCCGTGTCGTCTGAGTCGAAACCAGCTGAAGACGTTCTACAGTCCCTGTCCCTTCGCATCGACCTACAGGATGTGATACATTAGCAAACACACGTTAAGTTATGGCCTCGCTGATTTTGTGCTGTGCACTACACAGAACCATGCGCTCTGCATGCAAACGTTACAGGTATTGATTTTCGGTAGTTTTCGACATCAGAGTGATATAAAAGCGCATCATTATCAAAATTGCAAATCCAAACAATACGGTTTTCGTCGATGCCATAGAATCAAGATGGTAGATATTTGATATCTTATACGTTCGAATTTAAATTTCATATTCAAATGTGTATCGCTCTGATTTCAAAAATCACCTAATTGTATCGATTTCCCGCGTGAGGCAGACAGAGAAAAAATCAACTTGTGTAGTCGTTTGTATCTTAACGTTTTTTCCACATATATAATAAAAATTATTTTTTTATTTTTAACAAATATTTTCTAGGTCGATTTAAGTGTTTTTGAATAAACCCGTTTCTATTAAAACTTGAAACTATTAAAATAATACAAAACAATAAAATTAAAATAATTTTATCAAATACACACAAGTTGATCGAAATATTAATAATGTGCGTTGTCAGCAACAAAATCTTGTATTATACGTAGGTATATATTAAGGGAATTACTTGTTTTGCTGCAGGTCGTTTTGTTCTACCAATAACTGTGCCTGGCGATTCTTCAGTGTTTCTAATTGGTGTTGCACTGCTGGATCCTCTTTGGAGCTCTGGTCCAGCTCCTCTCGACGCTCGTTGACAGCTTTCAATTCGTCTGTGATCTGCTCTAAACGTTCCTATACGTAAACATAAAAGAAATTCATACAAAATATGCGTCTCGACCCAGAAGTGGATCCAGGGGTGACATTTCCTGCATCTTAGGAATTTTATTTATTTAACTGTTAATCGATAATCACGTCCTGTACTATAATCCCGCTCGGTTGAATAAAGTTTCAGTGACGATCTTGTATGATTTTAGTTATTAGCAAACAATACGGTTCTATGACCATTTTATCACAAAATAATAAAGTTTATTAATATTTTTGACCACCAGCCATACTGTCTACTGATAGATAACCGATTATTATTGTCGATTTGTGGTATCAATTTGGTATGGATATACTTGGTCGTGGAATCGAAATACACCTACCTGTTGTCGGATTTTGAGCAATTCGTCGTGATCGTCCAGACGTGGCCTCTTCGATGCATAACAATCGCCATTTGACATCAGTCCTCTGAAACTCTGCATGCTCGACCTGTTTCGATTGATATACAGTTTATCTTTAATAATTTCAAACATGTATTTTGTTATGTTTATGTAAAATTTTAAATCAATATTTTAAAATTTACTGAGGGTAAAAATAGTATGGGAAAGTTCCATTACGATTAAAATTCCATACGAAAACGGTCTAACACATGATTATTGTGTTTGGCGTGCACTACATTGTTGCAGTAGTTATTGTCGACCGTGGTTGAATCATCAATTCGTTTTGTTGTTCACTATATTTAATTATTCGGGTTAAATGTATTTACTTGGAATGTCCTTTGGAGTAGTGATAACCTGAGTCGCGAACTACTTGTCGGGCTAAAGGAAACAGTTCATCCCGCCTGGTCAACAGGACCGGCACTAATTTGCATATCTGTGCTGCTGCTTCGTTCACGGATACCTGTGGGATAATCGATAACATTATACTATTCTCAAAACCAACGGAAAAGTAAAACGTTCAAGTTGACGTCCAATGAAAGGTCGGTTCTATCACAATCATAAACAAGGGCTATAAATTATAGCCTAGTGGCTAACGAACAATTATTATAGCCTATAATAATTGTTCGTTAGCCACTAGCGGAGCGAAGTACAATAATAAATTATTATGACGATTATAATGTGTATATTCACCTCGTGCAGCGTCAAGGGTTTTTCGGGTTTCCTCTTGCAATCGAACCGTCCGTAGATAGCCGAATACTTCCTAATGGATTCAATGCGTCTCGGGTCTTCTTCCGGCATGTTCATCACGCTCTGAAGACAGATTTAAAAAAAAAAAAATAAAACAATTACGGAAACCGTCTCGTTTTCAACATGCGTTCAACGCCTAAGCCCAAGCTTGCACTTAAGAGGACGCCACACTTGCATGAGTTGTCTCTGTCTGATATAATAACATAACAAATTTGCGTTGAGTAATTAAAATGTAGTGATGTTAGCGTTAATATTAGAACAAATTGACCTATAATCAAATTATAAGGGAAGAGCATCTGTGGGTTATCTGTGTTTTGTTGGTCGAGTTTTTCTGATATTTAAATTTTTAAGCGAGTTTTTTTTTTATCGTAATATTTCACGTATTCATAACATGCTTAAAATGAAGATATCGGAAAAACTGACTACAAAAACACAGAAAATGTTTGATTATAGATCAGTTTATTAACGCTATTACTAGTGCTGAACGCAAATCCACTGTGTTGTCGGACGGAGACAACACACGAGGTCGTGGTGTCGTCTTCAATGAAAATAATTGTTACGGGCGATCGAGACAGGAGAATAGAACTATGTAATTGATTTCGTAAATCATTTAGAACGATGTGATTGTCGTGTCGACAAACTACCGAAGTTCGCTACTGGTCGACGCGTCAAAAATAACTCCGTCACTCGAACGATACGCATTGGCAAGAGAGCACGTCCAACGTTCAGACGCCGCAGCGATCAACGCGTGTGTATTATGCACAAGGCTATCGTAGGCTATGCAGGGACCCATCGGTCATTAAAGGTCTTTTTAGTAAAACAAAAGAAGGTGAGTAAAATCATCAAAAGCTTATTCTGTATGATGACTTTTGTGTAGCCGGAAGATATGAGTTATTCATTTTAAAGAAAAATCTTTGGAAATAATGGGATGAAAAATAAAATATACCTAATGCAATCGCACACAATTAATCGTTCATTATTTATTTGGAATTAACATTTTAACATTGCTATTTATATAAGAAAAATTGTCTTCAATTAAGAATTACTTTTTTCGAGGCAGTCATATTAATACGTTACAGATTAAAATTCAAAGTTGTAATTTTTATTGTTCGGGGCCCTCAGCCGGATGAGGGCCCTGAGCACATGCCTCAAGTGCCCATAGGGTAAAGATGAAATTGGTTATGCTCACTTCGAGTTCCTTGTTCGTCTTCCGTTTCGCCGTCTGCGCTTTGGGCTGGTACTGCGGTAGCCTTTGCACCAGTTCCTTCGCCGACGTGGCCAATCGGGCTATCTGGGATTCGTCCAGCGACGGGGACAATTGCATCGGCGAACCGGGGCTCTGACCCGGACTGTTACTGTCGCCGTAGTGCTGGCCCGCTGAGGTGGTCGCCTCACTCGTCTGCGCCACCTAAAACGTCACCAGCCGGCGTTCAAATGCTGTCGGACGAACTTAATCCACGGCACGGGGGTGCAAGAACTATATTGATTGCCATACGATTTCGTTCGCCTAGTGTGAGTGACGTTTTCAGATTCTTAACACCGAACGATGCGGTCGAAGGTACGCGCGAAAGGATGGGGGTGCATTTCAAACGCAGCTGTGCGCGCGCTACTGTTTAACGGATGGCGGCTTGTTATGGAATACGGAGGTTGTGTTACGCTGCAAAATTTTTGGACGTTGACAATCAGCCCAAGTGTGATGTGTAATCGTATAATATATATATATATATATATATATATATATATATATATTTATAATGTGCTGTACAGCTGGTAATGTTATCGCGAGCGAAAACGAAAGGACGGTATTATTATTATAATTAATAATAATTTATTATTATATTGTTCTTGCGATCGTAATAAAAAAACAGCCATTTAATGTTTGCTCGCGGTGCACCAGTTGCTTTTTTTCGTCGGCTTTTCGCACTACGGCACCACTACACGCTCTCTACGGGCCCGTCGCCGAAGGGTACGCGCGACCTTTTCATAACCCTCTTTAAAATGTTACGCTCGATCCGAACGAATCGAGTTTATAAAAACAAACGGTCACCGATCCGCTCTATGTTAGTACCTATATACGTACAACGATGATAATTTTGACATTTCAAACGGCAGTACGCATAATATTATGTAACCTGCTGTGTTTCACCGCTGGTCTCGTAATCATTTATTTACGTTTGCGATTAATGTGTAAAATGATGATATGTTGGAAATGAGAAGCGATGTTATTGGAAAACGGGTAGGGGGATGAAATATATGTATGCAAAATATTTGGATCGTAAAAATCAATGTTAATATATATTATCATACTTTTACGTGAATTGTATTCTTTCGACAGTGGGGTACATAATTTATGTTAAGATATAAGTAGCTTATAATGATACACAGCATTCGATTTTTGATTCTGATCGGTCATCTCGGTAACCTTTTCACACCGTTCTACGCATAATCGACTTTAAGTGAACTACGTCTCTACCTGTGGCAGTTGATTAGTTGAGCTGGGCACGGGCGACGGCGACGTGGGTGGCTGGTAACCGTAGCCCAGTGGAGTATAGTAACCGTGGTGGATGGAAGTCTGGATCAGCGGATTCGGGCAAACGCTGAGGAACGGCCGGACCGGGTTCGGCGGCAGCACGATCGCGCCAGGAACTCCGCCGGCAACAGGAGACGTCAATGGAGTTTGAAACATGGCTGTAAGGTGACGAAAACTATAGTTAATATAATAATTAATTAATAGGATACTTTATGCTCGTATAATTGTGAAATCGCGAACAAAACGAATAAATAAGAATACGGCAATAGTTGGTGAAAATCAGGACAGGGGTTGCTTTGAACTCGGTCGAAAAATTTGTCTTCTTACGTTCAGTGTAACAAGTGAATTATACTTTTGTTTATTTTAAACACGTTAGATTAATCGATTACGTTTCGGTAAATCCTTTATTCTCTGAATTGAAAAGGATTGAAATATTTTTTAGTCGAATAACGTGTTTTGTGGCTTTTAGGCTTCGGGTTCGAAATCTGGCAAGAGTTTTTGCGACTTTCGGGTAACGGGTCCAAAAACGGATTACATTTTTTTTGTGAACTACTCGGGCTCAAAACCGTTTTGATTCCCTATTTGACTTAAATGATTTCATTAAGGGGATCAATAGTGGTAATTTGCTGCGTCTTTCTGTCAGTCACACGGGCCACTTATAGTAATTTAGATGTATAGTTCCAACATTCTGATCGATCACAGTAATAAGTGGTAAGAATTTCGAAAAAAAGTATAAATTTTTTTTTTTTTATTTCGCTGTAAACAGTTTAATTTCTGATCGCTTCATACATTTTCAATTCAGTTTATATGAATACTTTATCAACGTTGGTTTTCAAATATTTTTGAATTATTATACTTAATTTCAATAAACTCCGAGACAATAAAATAGCGAATTGCAAAGTCGACAGTGGCGTAACCAGGATTTTTAAATGGGGGGGGCTAACCACTTTTTTTGGATAAGTAAGGAAAGAGAGGATATGATAATTCACCCTTAACCCCCCCCCCATCTACCACCAAGTTTCTAAACGCATTTTAGTATAGTTTTAAAAATATTTATTAATACATAATTTATAATAATAATAATAATTTTGGTTTCAGTGTTCAGTTACTTGCTCCACTCTGACAGCTGCATTCTCTTAAGCGAATTTCTGGCAAATTCAGTTATTATTTCACTTTCATGGAATTGCTCTTTTTTATTTATATTAGCCATAGCTAATCCATTCAGTCTGCTTTCCGACATGGTGCTTCTTAAAAAAATTTTTAAGTGATTAAGTGCTGAAAACGTTCTTTCCGGAGTGAAAGAGGTAACTGGTAACGTGGCGAATAATTGTAAAAGTATTTTAATGTTAGATCGAAGATTGATGCGATGAGAGAGTGAATCAAGAGCAGAATTCGGTTTTAGAATATTATTTTGACTCCATTGTTGCCTCCATATGAACAGGTCAGCCCTGATTGTAGATGAGGTATCATTATGGAGATCTTGGACATATATTTTAGCAGCTTTTATAATATTTTTATCGTCATACATATTTAAATTGGCCGGAATAAGTCCTTCAAGTGGCATAACATCAATAAGTCTTTGATTAAAACGAGCATTGATTCTATTAAATAGTCAAGATACATTATACATATAAACACGGCCTATGGTGGAGGCTATAGCCCCCTTAGCTCCCTCCTTGGCTACGCCACTGAAAGTCGATATTGAATTTAGATTTCTTCGCAAAACTTTCACATCACCATCAATAACATTATTTATAGTTTATTTATATAATTTATGACATCACTAAACAAATAGCATAATATTATATTATGAATTTATCTAATTAAATATATGTTTTGCTAGAGAGACATTATGGTAGCCGATCACCAAAATTATACCTAGTATTTAGATTGATACATATTTTGTAACTCTTATTTATATATTCTTTTCTATTATGAATATTTTAATGATTATTATTATGCATATTTATGTATATACCTATTAATATAATATTATGTAATTACAAATATATTTTTTTATAAATAATCAATGGCCATTTAACCAAAGAGTTCTTAGTTGCATTAAGTAAAAATAAAAAAAAATTATTTTATATTTTTGACAAAAATATTGTATCACATTAGATTATATATATTATAATTTATTGTTGAAATTCAAATTTTCCATAGAATGTTAAAATATTACATCGCTCTTATTCAATTTTTCATCTTAATATTCTTGTAGTCGAAAAATATTTTCTGTGAACACCTATTAGCAATCAATTTTTTTTTTAAACCAACTATTGATGGTTACTAAAATGGAAAACCCTCAAAACCCAGTATTGTGTACTTTATCCACCGGGTTATCTGGAAACCCCTCAACACATTGCAGCTGCGACAGAAAAATTGATCGAGCAAACTTTTTTCGTCTTTTCTCCCTCCCGTCTTCCCTTACTCTCTACCACTATCTTTCCCTCTTTTTCTTTATACCTCCCTCTTGTCCGTTCACCGCCATTCTCACCCATCCATATCGACGACGTTGTTCCACAAAACAACAAGAGGTAGGACTGGGTAGAGGTTTTATGATTCGCTTCTTTTTTTTCCTTATTTTTTTGTTCCCTTTATTTTTATTTTCACCCTCTCACTCTTTCTCACTCTGAGCGATTTCTCTTGTAAAGAGAAAAAAAAGGGGCAGAAAAAACCTGCAGACTGCTGTATATACACATATATATTGCAGGAGTATTCACGTACGCACATATATCCACACACACACACGTATACCCATCCATACATACACATACACACATATACTTGTATATATATATATATATATATATATATATATATATATATGTATGATTCCGTTGAAAATTTTTACACCACAAAATGTTCGGTACGTTGGAAACAGAACGGGAGAAAAGCGTTTCGGAAAAAGTCATATATAATTTTTTTTCTCTTGCAAAAAGGTTTTCCCTTCTTGGATTTAAACTTTTAGTTTTCAGCCTGGCTTTTGTGCACAGAAAATAGACGTACATTTCATCTGTTTTTACCATTATAATTATTATTATTGTTGTTTATTTCATTATATATTTATAGTTTGTAACAATATTGGAAAATACATAGACCAAAAAAAAAAAAAAAGTAGTATTAATGGTTAGTAACTCAATGGCTGAGTTAAAAATAATTTTTGATCTTTTCAATGACTAATTTATAGTGATAAATTATATAAAATATTATGGTTACTTCTCAGCTTTGGTCGTATCAAGAACTATTATTACTCGACGAGACAGACGAAAATCGAATTGACAACGGTTCGGATGAAACGTATTCGCAGTTATCATCAAAATTCTTAGCAAAAACGATTCGTTACAGTGGTACAATTTTTTTTTTTTTTGTTGTTCCTACTACGTATATAGTAATGAATTTCAGTGACGCGTTGTGTGGGTAAACATACAATAATACGTGTGCACAGCGTACACCTTTTCCGTCCGCGAGAACTTCGCACCTTAAAAATATTTACAATACAATGCGGTGGTAAGTATTATATTTTCTTACTATAATTCACTTACATACATACATATTATACATCATACAACATACAAACGTGTACAATGCACATATATGTGTACATATATTATGCTGTGTCTGAAGAACATGCCGCACTAATCATAATAACAACAAAAGGAATGACTGGTATAGAAAAGGGTTAAAAAAAAAATAATAATAAACCCGGTGGCTCACCAACTGCTGCTGCTGCTGCTGCTGCTGCTGCTGTTTGAAGGAATTACTTTATGTACTCATTGTCATTCTTTTACGTGCATTAGAGAATATATTATTATTATTATGATTAGTTTCATTAGTATTCGACTTGCATACCTATCGAATGATTACCACTATGCTTTGCAGTTAATGACCCGACGACATTTGGTCAACGGGCCCGTAGTACCTATACTACGTTAGATGAAAATATTATTATTATTATTGTTATTACTGTTATTATGATACCCGGGGACGGCGATCAATCAATTTAATCACGAAAGAATCGTACACGCATAGCCGTGAATAGCATTTGAAATTTGATAGGGAAGTAGGTGAAGGTCCATAGGGCTGCACTTATTGAAAAAATATTGATACAGTTTTTCTCTAGAGTAGGAAGTGTTTATATCTTGAATTTTTTCTATGCCTTAATAGTTAATACGATTCAGTTTAATTTTCGATTTCGATTTGTGTTACGTACAGATATTATAATATTATTCATGACGATTCACTTAAAGCAAAAGTATTTATTTAGCACGTACTTACCTGGGTTGCTGACCCATTCGTGCAAAGCTTTCTGCAGTCGCCTTACGTGCAATGGTTTTGAAGCCATGCCCACCAAGGCCATTATCTCGAGAAATTCTTCTTCGCCAGCATCACAAAGTTGTTGCAAGTCATCGCCACCTGTTATAATGTGAGCACGAAAAATAATAATAAAATAAATGACAATAATCTAAAGATTTAATAACAAAAAAATTACGAACACATTGTAATTTCCTTCTGTTTTATTTTTTTAAATTTTCATAGTAGGTATAACTTTTTATTATAATTTTATTTTTTTATCAATAACTTAATATCTTTATCAATGTTTTTTGCAGATACATTTTTCCACGAAATTTTAGTAAAATATTAATGTCTTATTCAGACTTTACGCAGTTTGGTATTATATAATATTATTCTTAACATATTTTCATTTCGTTTAAAAAATATAAAGTCAGATCGATAAAATAAATATTTGGCATGATATTTACTAAAAAAAAATTTACTGAAATTTAAATTCAATTCATAAGGTTATTTATTTTATACAGTACCACAAAATCTACATCTTTTTTATCTCTAACAAATTGTAATTATAAGACATTTTATTTTATTCAAGAATATTTTAAAAAAAATTATTTTTTATTTTCATAATATCAGTATTTAAAAGTATACTTTTCATTAGTTATACTAATTTCAAAGATGATATGTAAACGTGAGTCGGATTAAAGAAAAATCTACGATGAGACAAAAGTTGGAGTTGGATTTAATCAGTATAATTAAGTTGTATAATATAATATTTCATAAAGGCAACATGGATAGTTATTTAAATTAAAATACCTTACGCAAGATATCGGTGTTACACCGGATTTAAATTTATTGGCAATCAGCAATCTTTAGTACTAAATAAATCAATTTTAACGGTAAACTACAACTTGGATTTAAAATCGATAAGAACCGCACAAACGTAAGTACATAAATGTCTTACAATACAGCATTATTATTATTATTATTATCGTTGTTTGTGTATTAATTTATTATTACAATTTCTTTGGTTTGAAACGTAATTATTATTTTATGACGATAAATTTCACTACAAACAATATTCTAACACGGAAACTTTTGTAGTTTAATTTGATAGAAAGTATAAAATATAAAAGTTGCATAGTTGAAATTAAAGCTTGTTCCGAACATAATTGGTTACTTCGGAGGACCCGTTAAAACATTATGAAAAAAAAAAAAAAAAAAAAGGAAAAACCATATCGGTCTTACCCATTTCAAGTAGTGTGTCATAGTAAGCTAACAGACTTGCTCTCTGCATTACCCTGTAAAGTTGTAATTCAGCTTCGTTACTCGGACTAGATGTCATGATCACTGCAACATAAAACGAAATTCCGTCCGTAAGCATAACACGTAATAATAATTAATAATAATGATAACAGATGTGTAACTGCATGTTATTTAGATTTAAGTATTCATCTATTAATTGTTTTGTTACTGCGGAAAAAGTTCTAGCGAAAGGGTAGCTGAAGAATAGCAGAAACCAAAATAATATTCTGAAGTAAATCGAGAATATAAATTAACGTTCAGTTCCCACCCCATCTTCGCTTTTTTTCGTCTCGAATGCAGTATTAAAGGTAGTAATATTTTCGAAATGTCTATTAAACCTTGTTTTTATAGTCCACGGAAAAAATATTTATTCAATATTCATTAATATGGATTTGCAAATTATACGAGAAAAATTAACAACAAACTTTTTTTCCCACAACAGTTTTCTACATGCGAATGCATGACGTATACTAAAATTTTTAGTAATTACTTTACATGAACCCATGATAAAAAAAAATACACACCGCGTATTCACTCTAGCTTCGATGTCCCGCGGCAATTCCGGCCCTACGGTTGTACAAGTATGAAGTCCCAAAAGCTAATTAAAGTATGTCCGCACCAAAGTCCGGTTTTCGTGTAGGCGTACAATGCATAACGCGCGGAGTACAATAACAAAACAACTGGCACACGGCAATTCGTGTTTTAACCTTTTATAATGGTCCTAACCTTTACCCGTTTCTATTTTTATTATTTTTTTTTTTACACATTTGATGGTGGTATCGAAAATTGTATAATAGTTATGGAACAACTACACCGTGTAGATCACGTGTATCACCGTGATGGCGTTCAGAATTCAGATCACCGTTAATAAATGTGTCTACTGTTTCGCCCTTTTTTGATCGCGGGATGTATTTTTTTCTATACACAAATACATATTTATTTATTTTTATTTTACATAGAGTTCTCCTTCGTTTTTGCGACCAATATTTTATATTATGTGACTTTAGTGGCGTTTTTTTCTCCTTCGCACGTTATATACATGCTCAACCCGACCCCGTTGGCGGGTTGTGGGTGGTGGTTGCGACGGGGTAAATATCCGAATTGCCTGCATTACACATGATATCGAGGAAATAAAGGCCTGACTCTCGGTTCGGAGAGAAGGAATAGATTTTTTCCCGTCGTCTATACTATTATATTGAATTGGCGTCGCGCTGTCGTTGCAGTTGCATCGAATTCTGCAGTTGGCGACGCCACATTGACTGCAAAGAAAATTACATTATTGCGTTGTTGTCTGACGGGATAAAACTTTGTGATTTGTCAACGTCCCAATTGAGGATAAAATCGTATCCCATTCGAATATTCATCTGCGATGGTGTACGTTCGCGATCAAATGTTTATATTTTGATCATATTTTTAATTGAAAATCAACTGCGAGTAAACGTCCATTTGAAATAATTCGGATGATTTGATGATTTTCGACTTTTATTTACAGTTAACGTAAATTGAAAAAATGAATTAAAATATAATCGTTAAAAAATGCAAAAAAATACAATATAATATTATATGAGTAGGATTTGATATTGAAACCCGCAAACATCATCGGCCTTGTAAACGTTATAGTATATATATTCTTATATAATTATCACCATTAAGAATTAAATAACAATAATGAGCGCATAGTGTAAAAACATTATTATAATTATTTGTAGGAAAGTAAAATATAGCGATTATTAATTTTTAGTTCTATATCAACAGTTTATTGATGTCTTTTGACGACGAAAAAAATTATACGACCATACGATGTTTTTTTAATTTTTTTTTCTATGGAACATTATACAGTTGTTTAACATAATATTTTAAAATAGAATACTCATCACGAAAACGTTATAACTAATTCAAAATAATTGTTTCTTATAAAACATTAATAATAGTTAGTAAACTTGTTGTGGCCGTGAAGTGTATAAACCGACGGCACGTCCAGTAGGCTAATATATATTTTTTATTTCATTATTTATTATTATTTTTTTCGTCAAGGGGTTGGTTGGTGGTCAGGACAATATTCGAGGTGGGGGATATACCTTATGTTTATTAACCAGAGGTCTTGTATACATCGTCATGTTGTTCTAACGACTTCCTGGGCTAAGTGACCTGGGGCCGTCAGCTATAGTCCGTACTGTAATTATTGCACAATGCATGTGTATATATATATATGTACGAGTACATATTGGACAGCAGCTGAGGGTTGAACTCGTTTTCAAGGCTACCAGAGCACCACGGGGTATCCATTATCGTATTTTTTTTTAACGAAAAAAAAAAAAAATAATAAAAATAAAACAACACAGGTCAAAAATATTGACCTTTAATAACACATTTTAAGACTCGTATATGAATAGGAGGTACTAATTACTGTTTGTACATCGTTCATTTTATTATCATAGTTGTCCGATACACGCAAGTTTATATTATATGATTTAGTATTATTATTGTCTATTTAATGACATTATATCGATTGATTTTCCGTATCTATCGCTTTGTTTGTAAAATGTTTAAAAAAAAAATGAATGAAATATTTCGTGTAAATACAATCGAATGTAAAATTGCAATTTTGATGTTTTTATTTTAATTCAATTAAAATCCTATATATGACGTTGTATTTGAGCACAAATACAAGTAAGCATTGTCTGTTCTTCGAGCCCAAGAAGTTTTCTGGTCGCATTAAATAGAAGTTCGAGTCTACTGCGGTGTATTATGTACGTACGGTAATAACATGTTATGTGCGACGTTTTTCTTCTCTCCACGCGGTATGCGTATGCGTCAACTAGAATTAAAATATACATATAAATATAAATATGAAAAAAAAAAAAATAAAAAAACCGTCAAAGAAATCGTTTTGAATGCTGCGAAACAACAGATGTGGGCCGCGTACAATGAGCGCATTACCATGGAAGTGAGGTAGAATGAAGGTGAGGCAAAAAAAAAAAAAAAAAATTAAAAAAAATCGAACCAGAATCTTCTAGAAGTAGACGAAAAAAAAAGGTACATATACGTATGTACACATCAATTAGGGTCCGTCCATCTGTCTTTGGGTATAGTCCGTTTATGTAAATGAACCTTTTGTATGGTCCCAGGGTCAAATATGGGTATGATTTGTTAACTGATCAAACATACGTGTTAACACACACACACACACAAACACATATGCCGGACGTTGTGGGAGATGCATAGGTCAATGATCTGGTTAAAATAACAAAACACCTTTTCACATCATAAGGCTCAAGCGATCGTATTCTGATAAGCGCGGTAATGTTTAATATTTCTCGAATGAGTACGATGGGATTTTTGGGACCTTGGGTAACTGCAGGATTTCGATATCAAGGTCGCAGGTGGTGATGAATGTCATTAAATACGATGTCGTAAAACGATCGGATTTTGATCCGTGTTTAAAGGCATACATTATTTACTTTAGTATACATTTCAATATGTATATAAGGTATCATTACAGGGATTCTAAATATAGCACGCCATTATGTAATGTATATTATTTGAAACTGTTTGACTGGAAATTTAAAATGTTTGACTTATTTCTAGGTCATAGTAACAATTACCTACAACAAAAATTAGCAAAACCAACTGTAGCACAGTAAAGTATAAAAACATATTTTAATTGTATTCAATGAATCAATCCATTATGAAAGTATTCGATATTTTTTTGTTAATACGATTTCACATCGGTGAAATGTTTTCTTTTTATTTTAAAATATCACTTTATTTTAACTCATACTTGTATGACTTTTTGTTTGGGTCAAATTTTAACGGTAAAAAATATATGCAAATGCCAAATGTTATAGGGTGCTTAAGATAAAATATAGATTTTTGCAAATTAATTATGAAAAATTAAACATAGAATATTATCCATCATATATTCCATAACTTACTTGAATAGACCTATTTAATAATGTAGACTTTATCCTTAAAGAACCTAATGCAAAAGAATAAAAAAAAAAAAAAAATTAAAAAAGATATATAAAAATTAAAATTTCAAAATAAGTATTAAGCCATATTAATAAGAAGATTTTAAATTTGAAGTGAATTCATTTTTGTTTAACTTTAATTAGATTTTGATAACTATCATTTTTTCACCGAAGATTTATCATTATTTGACGTTTGGTCTTATGATACTTATTTTTTATTTTAGTCAACTCGCGAATTAACACAAAAAAAAAATATATATATATGCGATGATTCAGTAAATTTGCAGTAATTCTATTAATTTTCAACCGATCAAAATTGGAATACATTTTCAAGTTGCACATTGTGCAGCATAATTAATTATAAAATCTATTATTTATAATCGTATAATTAATTATGCTGCATTTTAATTAATAATTATTTGTATTATTAATTATGTATCTATTATTTATGTTACATAGAATAAAGAAAACAATGCATTATGTTATAAGTACTGCGTGTAGTTTGTATAGACATGTTTACATAAAAGTTAACGTTCGAGACAATATTTCAGAATTATTGAAATTTAGAGTAAATTCTTCGATATCTATGTCACGTATAACAATGTCTAATGGTTTTATATATTTAATGTTTATTATTTAAGCAGTGATTTTATATTAAAGTTAAAATCACAAAAGTTTCGGTTGGTATTTATTTTTTCGAAAACTAAAATAAAATATAAAATTACACAGTAAGTATATATCACCAAACATCAAATGTTTGTTCATAATGTATAAAATATTATCTAAGGAGAATATAAAGTATCACAAGTATAAAAGTATTGCTTTTTTCCACACGGTCAAAATGAGGTTCAACTTCTAACTTGAATGCTTTTTTTTATACTTGTATATTATTCCAAACCTTCTTTGAATCTTATGCTGATGACGACCGAGGAAAAAAATGGACAGCAAAAAAAAAGAATAGAAAAAACACCAGAGAATGTGAACCCTTCAGGCAGAACCGGTGGTTCTTTTTGTTTTGTTTTGTTTTTTTTTTTCAAACCGAGGCCATTAACATTATTTTTTTTTTTTGTCTTT